CTCTCTCTACGAACGCCAGGTTCATACTCCGCTCGCTTGTCTCTCTGCCGTTCCTCGCCTAGAGCCAGCTTTGTGTCGCCTGGGAGCTCTCCGCCTCCCGCTCTGCTGGTCAAGCGAGGACCTGCTGATGCGGTGGCAAAACCGCTCAGCTGCCCCTTGTCTCGCGTCTAGCCCTTCGGTCCACAATCCAGGGTCGAGTGAAGCAAGACCAGCAGTAGAGCTCTGTCGTGCAAGGTTTTTCCCCCTGTCCGCGTGTGCCAAGGAGACAGCCATTCATGCAATGCTACACTAGCGCCTGTCTTGCCGGGCGTGGTGCAGAGTAGCGTGACCCTCGAACCCCACAAACGATATATACATTTAGCTCACGCATCGTCGTGCCTGATCCTGATCATCTCTCCCCTATCATCGTACCTCTCTCACCTCTGCCAGCGCTACAACTATAAGCACTCCCTACATCCCGACCGCATTGCAGCACCGGCCCATATCATCATTTCACCATGGCTGACCGCGAATTCACAGGTCCCAGGTCGTTGCTCTCGGCCTTGTCCGGTCGTACACGCACCTCGTCCAAGAAGGAGACGGGCACGTCTTCGAGCAAGGCACCACACACCTCGAGCAAGTCCTCCACTGCCACCAAGTCCAGCCGTCGTCATCGCTTCGACGACAAGTCGGGACCTCCTCCACCGCGCGGCTCGCTCACCCCCGAGAAGCTCTCCTACCTCGACTGGCGTCTGAAGCGTATCAACCACGTGCGTCAAAAGTCCGAGAACTCGTCCTTGTGTTGGTACGATGGGCGGGACACGATCGGGCGCAACTCGATCGACGTCAGTTCGTCGTCCCGTATCGACGTCGTGGTGCAGGAGCGCATCGTACCGGCGCCAGCGCCAACGTCGAAGCCCAAACGGAGGGTGCCGAGCAGCATGGCGTACTATGCCGACGAAAAGGCGGCCGGTCTCGAGGCGCTCGAGCATGCCTACTCCGACAGCGTGTTTGCCAACCTGCCCCGTCTCTCCAAGGGCGATTCCTGCTCAGGATCCGACATGTCCGGCTCGTCTGATCAGCACGCCGCGCATCTGCCACCGGTTGTGCTCCATGCTGTATCGGACAAGGACGTCGGCGGTCAGTACTTCGCCAAGCCCAAAAAGTCGCTCTTTGCCCGTGCCGGCTTCAACAAGAAGAAGACGGTCGAAGACACCGAGGCGTCCATGCGCAACAGCGGCCCCATCGCTCGCATCTGGGGTCGCTGAGAGGGATCACCCCTCGTCTCTTCTCTTCTCACCGTCTTTGGAGACAAGCATACCACGGATCACTACCTTGATACCCCACATTCCCACGGATGTTCAATTGATAGGCTTGTCTTTACCCGCTCCTGTTAAGAGCGCTATGTATTTGTACCGCAATGGGTTAGTGTGTCTGTCCCTTCCATCTGTTTGTGCAACACTGGTCTGTGATGACAACAAAACTGAATGCAGACCTCGTCGTTGAGCTCAAACGAGACAGGACGAAGACTCCGGGAGGTGGAAGCTACGAGCTTCTCGAGCCTGCGCAACGAAGGCGGCCTCATCGGTCGAAATCGGGAAGGACGAGGAGCGGATCGATAGCAAATCGAGAGGATTTTCACTCGCTGTGAGATTGAAGGAAATGTTCGGCATCTCCAAAAAACGAGTCGAATATCGGAAAAAGGATGAAAGAGGCAGCAGAGCTTGGTGATGATTGGCTGTGCCCCCGCAATGATCTGCTGCTGCCATGCAGAGACGTCGATCTGTGTGCCAAGTTTGGTTAGGCTGTGGAGCGTGGGAACTACTAGAAATCCACCTTTCAACTTGTCCTCTTCTTTTCTGGTTCGAGCCAGCGGTCGGCGGTCTTGCGACGTTCCATCCTGAAACGTCACTCGACAGCCAAGCTGCAGGGACATCGACTTGCAGATCCATTTTCCGACAGGAGGGTGGCTGCCATCTTGGTGTTCCGCATTCCATCCAAGGCTGATCCAGACAGTGGGGTACGCTGCGGAGAGATCACCAAAGCTTCAAATTGCAGCGTGAATGGACGCAAGGTTGTCGTCGATCAAAAGGGTCCTTGAGCTCGCTTAGGCCGTCGATCCGATCGCGCGATTTCACATTGTTGTCCCGTTGCGCTCTGGCCCTCCCATTCTCAAACCAAGGCCCGTGAGAGGATCGCCAGGGACACCGTCGACGTGGATAGATTCGGATCTCGATGCTGAGCTTCGTCAATGGCAAGAGCGCTGAAGCGGGTCAAAGTGGCTGCGACGGACAACATCGAATCCTCTCACAAGGGCAAACGGCGGTCAAGACAGGCGGCTGACTTCAGACTGGATTGCAGGCCAACGGATGGACAGGTTCAGAAGCTTGCCCTCTGCAATCGATGCGCATTCCATATGGTCTCACCTGGCTTCCTAACGGCGGCTCCAGTGTGCCGCGGTGACTTCTGTGAAGAGCAAAGAGGGGCACAGAAGGGAGACAAAGAGGACCGGATTGGAACTCAGTCTACTATTTGTTCCGGCTGCTGCTGGTGTGCATCGAAGATGCTTCCGGTCTGCTACAGAATTTCCCCTTCTGAGCTGCAGCTCTCTGCCTGTGTCCTGTCGATCCATCCAAATGCGTAGCGGCTCGAGCACGGACTGTGCCCTCACTCCATCCGCCCTCAGCATTCCTTCCAGAGTCTCCGCTCGTCCGCTCCTCCCCCTTCCATTCGGCTTTCCTTCCATCACTTCGCGGCTACCTCTGTGTCCTCACGCTTCATCCGCTACCTGACCATATCGCTGCACACTTCGCTGCAAACACCGTAGACAGAGACATCAATCGTGATACCCCGTCTCAACGTCAACAGTCTTGCACGAAGCCTCCAAAAAGCGAAGGGCGAAACCGTGATAAAGCAACAGTAGATCGACGCTTCGCACCAGCCAGTGGCGACCATCTCCGCAACCACATCAACATGCGTCGACCCTACGTAGAGCCGGGCCACCGCTCTGCTCGTCCCGGGATCCGACACAGGTCTCGACAGGACGGTCCCGATCGCAAGGGCCGTGACCCCAACACACTTGGTCGCAACGGAAGCGACAGGCGGCCTGCACGACTCGTCAGCGATCGCGACTCGGAAACCGAGACCACGGACTCTTATATCGAAGACGACGACGACCAGGGCTTCAGGACCGACGAGAACGCTGTCACCGCCAACGAGGAGCTCGACGATGACGACGACGACGAGACATCGATCGTAGACAGCTCTGTGACGGGCGCCTCTGTAACCGACAGCTCTGTAGGCTCCGCCGGTCGCTCTCGACCTGCACCTGCCATCCGTGGCGCTGGTACCCGCGCTGTTCAGGACTCGGAAGACGACTCCGAAGACGATTCAGACGATGATGATGATGCCTCCACCGATGCTCCAACGCCGCGCAACCAGAGCAGAAGCAACCTCGCCGCTGCCACGCCTCGCAGTCGTCCCCGCGCCTACTCGCGCTCCAACAAGCTCGCACCTGAAGACGAAGGTTGGGCTCCCGAGGGCGGGGCCCCCAAAGAGCGTCGCAAGGGCGGCATCTTGGGAAGATTGACGCGTATTGGCCGCAAGCGAAAGGGTTCCAGTCCACCTGCTGCTCAATCTCGTCAAGCTGCCAACACCGACCTCGTCCTTGGACGGTCGTACGGAGCCGTCCGCGAGCTGCGCAGCCGCAAGAGCAATGTCGGGCAACGACCCACTTCGATGATCTCCAACGGCACCGGAGATCGACGACGTGGCGCAGCTGCCGCCGCCGCCGTCGGGGCTGTTGCCTCGGGAGCTGGTGTTACAGGCCGTTCCGCCGCCCGTTCCTCCAACCTTGCGAGCAGCCGAAGCACTTCCGGACGTGGCGGTTTCGAGGACGACTTTGACAGCGAGCTTGGCTCTGCTCCCCCCCGAGGTGCCGGTCTCCGAGCTCGTCAGCCTCCTTCCACCATCGCCAGCGACGATGCAACAGATCTGGTCGATCGAGACGATGCACCTCTCCAAACGTCCGATGTTCCTCCCCGCATCCCCCTTCCGATCGCCCTGCGGGACGCAGAGAATGCTCGTTCTCCTGAGATCGTCGACCCCTTCGGCGAGCGGGCCGCCACCAAGCAGTCCCACGTCCGCAGCAAGTCGGTCGCTGAAAGCGTGCAGCCCAGTGTCCTCGACAGCAGCGACAGCGCCTCGCTCGCCCGACCCGCCTCGCCTCTGATTCCTGCTTCCGGCCCACTCAGCCACAACGATGCTATCGTGCCCAGCCAGCGTCCTTCGATGCAGTCGCTCAGGGACAATGAGATCGACGAGGACGCTCTCTCGCGATCCCGCAAGCCCAGCATCGACCTCCGTGCCGCTGCTGGCGGCGCTCTGGGCGGCCTTGCTGCCATGATCGGCTTCGACGCGCTTCGCGAGAAGAAGAACGGTCTTCCTCCTAAGGATGACCCGGTCGCCAGCGCACTCGGTCTCGTGCCTTCCGACGATGTTGCCACTCAAAACGCTGCCGCGGCGTCGACCACCTCGGTCAACACGGCTACGCCGGCTGCTCCCATTGCAGCTGCTGAGCCTGTTTCCAACGAGACTCTCTTGCCCAGGAGGACCCGACGACAGGGCAGCAAGGCTTCTGTTCTGACCGGCGCCACGTCAGGCGAGTCCCCTTCGGAGCTTCCTTATACCCTCGAAGACGGAAGCCCAGCCAACAGATCTGCGCCAGCACCTGCCATCACGGGTCCTCTGGCACTCGGAGCCGGTCTTGGCGGTCTTGCGGCTGCTGCTGGCGTCGCTACCGGAACAGATACCGACAGCGAGGTCAAGCTCAGGAGACAAAGGTCTTTGAAGAACAAAGGCAGGGCTCTCGCAGAGGACGACTATGAGAGGACCGAGGCCAATATCGCGCCTGTTCAGACTCGAGACTATGCCGCTCCTCCCTCGGTCGTAAGCGCTGTGTCCGAGATTCCACCGGCCGACGACGAGGTCGAACCTGCTTACACTGCCGCGCCGCTTAACGAGAAGAGCGGCTACAGTCAGCTCGGTATGGCTGCTGCTGCTGCTGCTGCTCCCATCGCCGCTGTCGCTGCTGCTGCTGGCACTCGAAAGCCCAAGACGTTGAAGGACAAGAGCGCAAAGCCGCCCAAGGGCAGTCGCGGTGTCGAGAAGCTGCCGGCGGTCAACGAGGACGGCTCCATCTACCGTCGTCCCATTCCCAAACCAGAGAAGGGCGGCTACTTGCTCACACCAAGCGTGGCTCCGAGCGTCGCCGATCCTCTGAGCGTGCGAGGTGTGGGTCGCAGACGTCCTGTTGCGTCCCAAGGCGACTGGCTGTCCAAGGATCTCTCGCCGCAGCAGACCCACTACTTCATCCGCGAGCTTTCGGCACGAGAGCTGCGTTGGGAGCTCGACCGCGCCTTCCTGCTGACCAGCCTGGAAAAGCCTCAGCGACCTTCCCGCTTTGCCCGCAAGGACCTTTCGAGCGTCGAGGACGACTCGCGCATCAACGACTTTGACGAGTCGTCCGACGAGGACCTGCTTGCCGAAGATGAGGACGAAGACGAGGAAGCCGTCTTCCGACGTGCACCGCAGCTCGGCCAGGGCGTGTACAATCAGCCCACCATCCCGGACCTGCCGCTCCTGCGCTTCCTCTTCAAGAACGCCTTCTGCACCTTCCCACTCTTTGTGGCCAACGAAGAGAAAGCGGATCAGTACGTCGGCGGACCACCGGACAAGGCTACGCTCGCGCGAAACTACTTCTTCACTGGCATCCTGCCTCTGCTGCGTGCGATCCACACGCGCTCGCTGTCTGCCTGGGTCGACCGTCACGGCGAAGGCGACGGAACGCCCTTCAGCGCCGTTTCCACCACCGGCTCTCTCCGCAGCCTCCTCACCAAGTGGGCTTCTCGCTACGTCACCGCCGTGCTGCGCGTCGGGCCTGGCGATCCGTACTTTGAGGACGACGAGCCTGTTGAGAAGGAGTCTTGGCCCTGGCCGGCCTCTAATCTCCTGCCACCCGAGGCGTACTACGCCTTCCGCAAGCCGCTGGATCGCCTCAAGTATGGAGGTTACGAAGTCGACCTGGTCGGCATCCGCAAGCACAGCTCCACCGAGCGCGACTACATCCTCCGTCTCCGACGCCCCAACGCTCCCGACCAGTACGTCGTGCGCAACGACAACGACTTCGAAGAGTACCGACGTAACCTGGCCAAGGACCTGAGCCCGTATGCCTTTGTCAAGCCTCTGCCTCGAACTCGCGGTCGTCCCGATGAGGGCGAAAGCGATATTGAGGACGGCAGCCCGTATGGCTCGGAGCGCTCAGAAGGGTTCAATGCGGCCGGTCTGGGCTCTGCGGCGCTGTACAAGTCGCAGGATGATCGACTGGGTCGCAAGGCCTCGGAGCGAGAACTGCGTGGCGGCGGACGCGACGGACGAAGACGCTACAGCTCTGCTAAGCAGAACGGTCGTCCTGTTCTGGGCCGTGACGACCGATCGGAGTACGGAAGCGAGGTCTTCGAGGACACTGCGGACGAGAAGTACCTCGACGACGATGACTACTCCGATGCTACGCTGCAGCCTAGGCGTGGTGCTTCTCGGCGAGGAGGACGTGGCGGGCAGGCTCAAGCGAATGGTAAGAACCGTCAGTCGCTGCTCGACAAGGGCAAGGGCTCTTTGCGCAAGCTCACGGGCAAGGAGTCGCAGAACACGTCGCGCAACAGCTCGCTCCGACGAAAGGATGGTCCCAAGAACTCGATGTCCAGGCAGAACTCGAATCGCCTTGCTCCGCCTATGACGAGCGTCGGCGGTGCGGGTCGGCCCGAGCGCGCCAGCACTTCGTCGCGCCGCCCTCCCGCTGCTGGTGCTATGGACTTCGAGGCTCGACGCAACAAGCTGCGAACGTGGCTGCGCGACACGCTCGCCGTGCGCGAAGCAGGTCATGCCAACGAGACGCAGAACTTCCTCACCATTGGTGGCTTCATGGAGCGCAACCTGCGACGCAGCGACTACGAAGACATCAAGGAGCGTAGCCGCGAGGACAGCCATCGTCGCAAGGAGCACGGTCGGGATGCGGCCGAGGCGGGCGACGATGTTCACGACCTGCGGGACGTACGCGACGAAATCTGGTTCGATTGCGTCGAGGGCGATGGCTTCCTCAAGATGTACGATTCGCTCCGCGAGACGCCCGACTATGCGCGTCTGCCGCTGGGCTACCAGAAGATTGTCTCATGGGGCAACTTGCAGATGGCACGCTGGCTGTACGGCGTCTTTGTGGCGGGTGACGAGTCGCGTGCCAACCTGGCGCGCGTGCAGGACGTCTACGAGTCGGTGCCGTGGAGGAAGCTCGCGTTCGCTATGAAGTCGCCCGTCGCTCAGATGGTGCGCTCGTGGAGGGACGAGTTCCTGCGACGTGGCTTCCTGCAGTCGATGCTGCACGTCATGTTGGAAGACGAGCCCGAGACGATCGAAGAGGACCTCGTTGAGCTGCGGGCCGCCATCGGATCAGACGTCATGTTCCAGAAGCTGCGTGTCTTTGTCGACTCGCCAGGCGATCTCAAGCGTCTCATTCGACAGCACGCCGAGAAGGCCGGTGTTCCGCTCGTGGCTGCGATCGTTCGTGGCTCCGAGCAGCCCAAGCTCAACAAGATCGAGGTGCAGCGCGTCATGGACGCCTCGGAGGCTTACCAGGACTTCATGAAGACCCTCCCCTCAGTGACCAAGAAGAACAATCACAAGGAGCCCGGCTACCTTCTCATCTGCAACCTGCAGCGGGCGCTGCGTCTGCTGTCGCTCCAGCGCGATGGTGCGCAGGTGCGAGGCATGCTGCAGGACCCCATGATCGCTGACGCGCTCACCGCCGCCTTTGAGCCGCTGATGGAGGAGGTGAGGCGTCTGCACAAGGTCAAGGGCATTGGCAACGCGGTGATGGATCTGCAGTCGTTCTTCGCTCGACTCTTGGACCACCTCACGGGTCTGCGTGCTCGTGTGGTGGACCCGCTCACGGCGGTCAACAGCATCGCCGAGATGCTCGACGACGCTGCGCCCGCATGGTACCGCTTCCTGCACACCGCTGCCGACTCCACCCCCACGGTGTTCAGCTTCTTCGCGTGGTTCCGTCATCTTGCGATGACCATCGGTGCTGGATCGGACGACCTAGCCCAAATCTGGACCAATCCGCCCGCCGCGCCTGCTGCTGAGGAAGACGAGGGCTCCGACGGCGACCGTCAATCGGTCGAGCCCAGTCCGGAGTACGAAGGCATCCTGGACCCGGCGACGATGCGCGAGATCAACTCGCTCTCGGAACACGGTCGCCGGAAGCGCAATCGTCAGATGGAGATTGCGTGCCGCTGGGCGGCGGGTGATACGGAGGAACACCACCCGGTGCAGATCCAGGGCGACGGCAGAGGCAAGACGCGAAGCGAACCTTACATGCCTCGCGAACCTAGGCCGGCGAGGAAGGCGCCTGGACTGGATAGGTTCAGGAAGTCGTTCCGCGAGGCTGTGTCGAGCGCTCTCGCCCGCTGAAGGATGCGCTCACACCACCATATGGACCTTTCCCCCTCATTCACATTCACAGACGGACACTTTTGATACATTCGACATTCCTTTACTCGACCGACACATGTTTCATACCTGTACCATCGACCGATTGACTCTGTAGATACTGTGCTCGAATCTGACCCTATGAACCCTGCTCTCCGTGCCAGTGTTGCTAGATGGCGCGTGCGTTTGTGCGCACGACTGAAACACGATGCGACCCGATCCGGAGGATCGAAGGGGGGTTGTGGTTGCTATCCGGGTCGCCACATGTCTCAGAAAGGGACCGGGTCACGTGGCGTCTTTTTGTGGCACGGCGCAGAACAACGGTGCAGAGGAGTGAGACAAAGTGGACTGTCTTTCTGAGACCTGGCCAAGGAATGTTAGCGCTGTCGCTTGGATGAACATGGAGCGCGAGCGCGGCAACGACGACAGGCTAAAAGCACGATAGCGTTGTGCTGAGATGAAGTCACTTGCGGTCTTTGCTTCGTAGAAGCCTAGCCGGTGTCAGCGTGTGAAACGTGACTACCGTAGGCCACCGGGCTGTGGATGGTTGGATGGAATTTGGCCCGCTTCTCGCATGTGCTGCCGCAATCCAAGCGGTGACGGGCCAATTTCGGTCTCTCGATCGACGAGATGCCCGAGATGATCTCCTCGTCGAGACTATTGCTGACGATGACGAGAGCAACGGTCAACCATCCGCACATCTCCATGTCGCCATGTCTGCACCGACAATTGACACGTCAAGAGAACACACCTGAAACACAATCCCCACGTTCTGCTGACACTGAGACATGTTGCGGAGTTTAAAATTTCTGTCATTCGGGCGGGTGACTAACGGCCGTGAGCCTGGTGACAGGACGAGAGGAGGGGTCGGAGTTAGGCAGGCGCGTACCCGACCTTGGACTGAGCTCGAAATTGACCGTCGTGTTAATGAGGGCCGTTGGTGATCTTGCGAGCGCAATTCGCACGCTCGCGTGGGATAGCTGGATGAGACATCGACGAAGGAAACGAGTACCGCAACGGTCAGGAGCGCAATCTAAGCGCCGATGGATAGGTATGTCTCTCACTTCGAAAAGACGGGAGCGTCGGGGACGGCCGATGGGTTTTGGTTGCCAAAGAGGTTGCCGCTCGCTTTCAGCGGGTCAAGCGCTCTGTCAGTCGGCCATTGGCGGCCGAACCGTACCAACCCAGACACGCCTTCTGCCAGGAAAAAAGGCACGGCATTCTCAACGAGAAAGAACATTCCAAGCGAACAAGCAGATGAGCATGGAGAGGCGCTTGGCGGCTAGCTCCGCCGCTCGGCCTTAGGCGATGTCGATGCGGGGGCATGCTCGTTTCATGACGGCATGCTTATGGGGCGTGGACAACGCGTGGGAAATGGCCAATGATTTGCCAAGCGATAGAAAACGATGGATGGGGGCTTGGCCGATTCACCGGCTGAACTCTTGGTAAGGCACATTGATATTAAGGTTCAGACTCCTTCGAACCGAACGGGCCATCATCCAGTCATCGTAAAAGGGCCAGCTCCGACAAGTCGAACTCTCTCTCTCTCTCGGCGTTCAGCGGTTCGAAAACCGATTTCTCACGCCTCAGTTTCGACGGCGGAAGGCTGCCGTCATCGAAGCCATGATGGGCATTAAAGTTTGCGTGCTCATAGCGAGAATACATGGGATGGACGAGCGGAGCGGAGTAGGGCGCAGCAGAAGCGATTCGCGGTTTGCCGAGAAGTAGCGCCCCGGCGATGCTCGCTAAGGCTGAGCTTGACCTTGTTTGCCGCCGTCTTCCTCGCGTTCCTGGCAGTGATGATGACGGCGACCAAGCTCGATGTGGCTTGCGAAACAATGGTCGCTCTCGGACCAGGCCCTATAATGTAGGCATCCGACGGGTAGTCGAAGCCCTGATGACACGGACATCGTGACAACAAGGAACGCAATGGCCCGAGAAATCTACGCTAGTCGTCGTCGTTACGACCCGAGCGCAAAAAATGCAGGTCCAGGCCTGTTCGATGCTGCCTTGCCCTGCGGCACGCTCTCAGCTTCTCAAATCGAACCGAACCACGACTAGTCCTCGTGCCTCTCTGCCGTCATCCAGCTTCTAGATGCCGTCTTTTCGCCGGCAAACATGGCGCTAGAGTCGGTCGATTGCAGCCCAGTCCGAGCTCCCGACCGTTCGCCGCTCCTTCGTTCCTGAACTTTACTTCAAAAGAACACTGAGACCTCCTAGTGTTTTTTCCCACCTTGTGAAACAAGTGACCTGGCGTATCAATGAGATCACGAAGCGGCTTCCCAACCTTGTTCTTCGCTCATCGTCGACGGGTCATCGCGGTGAGGATAAGACGGATGCACGACGTCCGAAGGGGCTCCGAGTGTGCCCACTGTGTACCGGTCAAAAGACAGCTTCGATGAGACACACAAAATCAACCCAGCCGAGCCGCTGACAGTTTTTGGCGCTCCGACGGCTCCGACGTGGTTTGGACAGTGAACAGCTTCAGAGTCCGCACGCCCGCTTAGCCTTCTTGAGCCCTTTCGACATCCGCCCTCGCTTGGCACAATGACCGCACAAGGCATGCGATCCCAGAGTGCGTCGCTTTCATATTCAGCCTTCCTCCCTCGACGGAGCCTTCTTTCATGTGTGAACCCTGATGAGCAAGTGAGCTCTATCCTTGGTCGATGATGATGTGAGTTTGGGGATTTCGGTTGTTCGATCTGACCGCCCATAGCTGAGCTTGAACCTTGTAAGCTATTCATTTTTAGCAACCAATTCATGCAAGGCGGATGAGATTGCCGTTGGAGCCTGTCGCTATGCACGCCTGACTGTTGCCCTGATACCACTTACGACGATCGACAATCCAGTCGCAATCGTCTGAGTCTCGACTCCTGTGTCGAAACACAGGTTCGGAGGAGAACGAGGACATTCGATACGAAGGCGTCGAAGCAGTGGCGGATGGAACGGAATGCCCGGCCAAGCCACTTCGATCCCACGCTAACCACACGTCCAGATCTCGAAATTTCGATTTAATCACGAAAAACAAGATGGAAAATTCACAATTTGGGCCTGGCCTTAGCCTAGCCTAGCCGAGCCCCCGTCCTTGAGCTCGCTTGACCAGGCGTCTGACATCCCGTCGGATGGCCTCATGCCGTAATGCACTATCGTTCAACCTCCGCTCTGCACTTTGCTCACAGTTCAAGAGGCTGGGCAGAGAGCCTTCAAGTCGGAGACGGCCGCTTGATCGAGAGGCGCTAACGTGGGTCATCCTCCCTCCTGTGGAAAATGACGCTCATACCCCCTTCCCCCTGCTCGCTGCCCCTTGCGTGCCGCCAAGCATGCGTTCAAGCCGGCGTACCTAACCTCTCCTCCTCAAGTGCCTGGTCGTAAAATCCATCTGAGCTGACCTTGAAAACTTAGGCTTGGTAGCAGGCAGAGGCGGCGGCGAATTCCATACTGTCAATATACCGCCAGCGAATCTGGTCGATTTTCCTAAGAAATTGCGGTCCATGTGCCGCTCCAGCCTTTTGTCTGCAGTTTGTCAGTCAGTCCCCCTGGCATTTTGCCCGGCTTTCTCCCTGCTCAAACGCACAGCATCGCGTCGGGTTGGGGCGTACCTGAGCTAAAATGGCATCGGCTCGCCGTTGAATTGGCAAGCGCTTTTGCTTGTTGTTTCTCGTATGTCTCTTGCGGCAGCTGATCCGACTCGCCTGGCATTCTCCGCGCTTTTGTCCCCTCCCTGCTGTTGCCCCTGCGTGGCTGCCCCTCTGCCCTTGCGTGCTGTGGGATGCAGCTCGGCTTCTCTCGCTTCTACGCACGGCTTCTATACCTTTTCGAGTCCGCTTAGCAGCAGGGCAAGAGGGTAAAGCGACACAATCCATGCCCCCCATTTGACTTATAAGCAGCCCCGGTAGAATTGGCACTTCCTCCCCTTCTTTCATCCGTCACCATCTTCCCTTCCCTACCACCCCTCCACCATCTACTACAACAATGCACTTCCGCACCTCGTTCCTGTTGATGGGCGTTGCCGCTGCCAGTCTGGCCGTTGCTGCCCCTGTGGTGGCCGACTCGCCCGCCGCTGTGGAGCGTGCCAACGGTGCCCCTGCTGCCGACTTCCTCCAGCCTAGCAAGCAGTTCTCCTACAAGCGCGACGAGGTCGAGGAGCGCGCCAACGGTGCCCCCTCCAAGGACTTCCTCCAGCCCAGCAAGCAGTACAGCTACAAGCGCGCCAACGGTGCCCCTTCCAAGGACTTCCTCCAGCCCAGCAAGCAGTTCTCTTACAAGCGCGACGGTGAGATTGAGGAGCGTCAGAACGGTGCTCCCGCCGCTGACTGGGGACGCAACCCCAAGCAGTACCAGTACAAGCGCGAGGTTGAGGAGCGCCAGAACGGCGCCCCTGCTGCTGACTGGGGACGCAACCCCAAGCAGTACCAGTACAAGCGCGAGGTTGAGGAGCGTCAGAACGGCGCCCCTGCTGCTGACTGGGGACGCAACCCCAAGCAGTACCAGTACAAGCGCCAGAACGGTGCCCCCGCTGGTGACTACGGTCGCAACCCCAAGCAGTACCAATACAAGCGCGACGAACTGATGGAGGAGCGCGCCAACGGTGCCCCCAGCAAGGACTTCCTCCAGCCCTCCAAGCAGTACTCGTACTAGATCCGTTTAGAGTCAGCATGTATACCACTTTCCTTTTGTTCTGCTCTGTCTTTCCCCCGTCGGGGTCGATGAGATCGATCCCCAATTGCACACATCGTATACCGTTCCGCAAATGTGTGTGTGTGAGGTCCGCGGAGAGATGACGGTGAACGGAACTGAATAGATGAATGGAAGGGATGGGCAGCGCATGAATGACGCTGATCCGATCAGGTGGGTGAGGCGATCATGAGTTCAATGCGGCGGAGCACGAATCGATGGCCACAGGGTTCCGCATCAATGGTTGTGAGGGTAAGGCGACCTGCCTTAGGTGTACTGGCTCATGCTGGGCGCCTTCCCTGCGAAATGATCGGAATCTCGATGCGCGTCTGATGAGCAAGCTTCGGCGTTGTTGGAGCGTGGGTTGCGGTGGGGATGACAGCTGAATGGTGGAGCGAGGCGGTGGTGGGGAAGGACCAGAGTTGACCGACGAAGAGGTCGTCGGAAATCGGCAGTGTTGCTCTCTCCACACCCGCGTGTTTCACACTTTTTTGGTCTCGTCGACGATATTCATCTTCACAGTCGACCATCTCTTTCATCTCTCCCTGCCTCGATCGCTGCCAGAGCGACCCATTCGTCGAGTCGGAAGCGTGTTCCGAGCAGCCGCAGTGTCCGACGTAGTGGAGTAGCAGCGCATTACACGAGCGTAACTGGAGGGGCTGTAGCAATCGACTTGTAACAAGGCGGACCGGGCGTATCGACAGACTCAAGGTCGAACCTCTTCGAACGCGAAAGGGTTTGAGCAGCAGCATCAGCAAGCAGGGTCTTCGAGCAAGATGGGAGATGGTACCGTTGATGCAGTCGTGGTCAAGTCAACACGGCGCAAGTCGCGCACCTCTACAGCAAGCATCGCGTCCAACTCAAAACCACGGTCGTCACGGCGCACCTTGCGCATCGTCCTTCTCAGCCTAATAGCCGCCACACTGGCGATACTTGCGCCTCTCGCCTTCCCTTCCGCATTCCTGACCTCTGAACAGGTCTCTCAGGTGACGCACTTCTTCGAGCGTGCCGGGCTCGACGTTCTCTCCACCACAGACGTGCCCGCGTATCCTCACCCGAGCAACGACGTCCCGCAAACAACCCCCCTCCGCGGCGGCCACACAAACAACTGGGCGGTCCTCGTTTGCACCTCGAAATTCTGGTTCAACTACCGTCACATTGCCAACACGCTCGGCATGTATCGCACCGTCAAGCGACTCGGTATCCCTGATAGTCAGATCATCCTCATGCTGGCGGACGATGCGGCGTGCAATTCGCGCAACAAGCATCCCGGACGGGTATCTTCCTCGGCCCAAAAACTCGATTTGTACGGGTCGAATGTTGAGGTGGATTACCGCGGGTATGAGGTTTCCGTCGAAAACCTCATTCGTCTCCTCACCGGCCGGTTGCCTGCGACGACCCCGAAGGGCAAGAGGCTGGACAGCGACGCACGAAGCAATGTGTTGCTGTATATGACCGGTCACGGTGGAGATGAATTCTTGAAGTTTCAGGACAGCGAAGAGATCAGCGCGGTCGATATCGCAGATGCCCTCGAACAGATGCATCAAGCCCATCGCTACCATGAACTCCTCTTCATCGTAGATACCTGCCAAGCAAATACCCTCTACTCGCGCATCTACAGCCCCAACATCCTCGCCACCGGCTCGAGCGAAAAAGGCCAAAACAGCTACAGCCACGGCGCAGACGACGATCTCGGCGTCGCCATGATCGATCGGTATACAAACTTCATACTCGAATGGATGGAGGGCGTCGACAAGAGAGGAAACGAGACCATCAAGATGCTCTTCGATGCGTATGATCGGGAGAAGATCGAGAGCGATCCGGGGGTGAGGAGCGATTTGTTCAGAAGGGAGCTGGGGGATGTCAAGGTGACCGACTTTTTTGGGGGCGTCAGTCAGGTCGATCTCACGCCCAAGGTGCGGGAGGTGATGCTCATGTCATCGTAAGCTCAGAGCACTGGTTCAAGAGTCATACTGAAAGTGCGACGAGTGCGAGCTAGGTGCAGCAGTGTGAGTAAGGATGAGATTTGATTGCATCGATTCAAGGCATGGTGCGATGACCAGCCAGGCTGTGAAGGAAGACAAGGGGAATGGCGGGCCTCACACAGGCTCACGTGCTATCGCCCGCCATGGTTGAGCACTCACCTGATACGCTCGAAGCATCGTCGCAGCGATTGCTGGGCCATTCTGTGATGAGATCGTCTGAGCTGTACTTTGGTGCCGTCGAGAGGGCCGCGTCGGGCTGATCTCGAAGCGAGTCGGCATGAAGAGCCGATGGATGATGCTGCACTGGAAGAAGCGACGGCTAGGCGATCAGAATGTGCGGATCAGCACTCAACAAGGGCAACCGAAAGTCAGAGGTACAGGTCAAGCTCGTGAGTCAGACTCGCGAGCTTTTGCGTCAACAGCGTCAACAACGGAGCGGCGACAGATACGAGAACATCACCTCGAGTCCAGATGATTTGCGTCGTCGGAACGTCAGTGTCTTGCGGCATTCGTGGATCGTGAAAAGAACCAACCCGATCGCTCAAGTAGTCGGGATCATGCACCGATAGCAGGTCTGGGAAGAAGGCGGTCCATATCGTGAAGTCGAGGCAAACTGCCGACCTTGACACATTCGTTCGGCGAATCCGATGATTGATCGAGACTCGGTCCGTCGGGAGGAGGCTGTGTCCAGGTAAGCGTCAGTGTGAAAGTCGGCGGGACCGTCGATCGGAGTAAAGCACAGATTGCGTGAGAACGAGAGGATTGCTTGTCACGAGCTCGGAAGCCATCGTATTCGCAGAAGAGACCAGACCAGTGCATCGAAGCGGTGCGGACCTTGCCGTGCATGAGCGACCATTATTGACCGTTGACCAGGAGATAGACGCGAAATGAAGACGTTTGAAGAGCCAGTGCGAGAGACAATCGTACAAGAGACACAGAATACATTGAGGTCTTTGAAGCATCAGCGGAAGGAGTAGAGGCAGGCCTTCTTGCAAGGGCCCGTTCTGCTGGTCCTCGAGCGAATTCGCGTGCCGGGACGCCTAGTCATCGCGAGGGCGAGGGACGTCGTCGTCATCACGGGGAGGAAGAGGGCTTCGGCTGTCGTAGCGACCGTTGCGCTCGGGGACGGGCTCGCGGCTGTCCTCGCGGTCACGAGGCTCACGGCTGTCGTCACGTCGACGAGGAGGAGGGCTGTCATCGCGACGACGAGGAGGCGGGCTGCGGTCGCGTTCATCACGAGGAGGACGAGCGGGGTCGATGCGCAACTTGTAGCCTCGCAGCTCGGTACCTTCGATCTTGTCGAGGGCACGCTCGTAGTCGTCACGGTTGTCGTACTCGATCACACCTTCGTCGGGGCGCGCAGCATCAACGTCGGCGAAAGTGACGGTGCCGTGCTCACGGCCGATGTCCTTGACGTCCTGCCAGCTGGTGTTGGGGGGCAGGTTGGAGACGACGCAGCGGAACTGGCCACGACGCAGACGGGGCTCACGGCGCGGGGGAGGGGCACCGCCGCCGTAGCGGGAGGACGGCGCGTCCCTGCCGTAGCTGCTGCCGCCAGCACCAACGCGGCCGTACGAGTCGCCTCCATAGCCAGCAGGCTCACGGCGACGCTCGCCGCTCTTTGCGTGCTGAACTAGGATGCGCTCGCCCATGAAGTTCTTGCCGTCAAAGTCCTTGACGGCGTCTTCGGCGTCACGAGGGTGCTCAAACTCGACAAAGCCGAACGAGCCCATGATGCGGACATCGTGGAGGCGCTGTGAGGCGAAACGGACCGCAGAGGCAATTGGGTTAGAAGGCTGGAGCATCGGAGCGTAGCGAGGTTCGAGGAAAAGATCTGAGACTTACGCCGTAGTCGCGGAAGAGGTCCTCAATGTCGCCGCGGCGGACATCAGGAGGAAGCTTGCCAACGTAGACTCGAGTGGACATGATGAGCTGCCCTGAAGAAAAGTGGATGGAGATGCAGAAGAAAGGCGGGAAGAACGAAAGGATTCAACTCTGTCTAAAGTCGGCGCAGCCACTCCCTCACCTCGCGCAAAGCCAGCCTTTGCGGGGAGAGCAGGCGAGATTGGCTGAAAATGTGCAAAGCGACGATCTAGCAGTCAAGCTTTTATTGTCGTGGCTTGGCTTTCTAGGAGAAGGAAGGCCTTGGGAGCAAACGTCGCTGGAGCCTCAAAGTGGGCTCGATCCGACAGCTGACAACACACAGCGAGACCCGACTTCAGCGTGGAAAAAGGTTTGATTCACTTGCCGTGATGATCATGCAAGCTGAACCGCGGCTAGATCCATCAAGAAGCAGCTGATAGGCAAGATGGCAGGCGGCAACGGAAAAAGGAGAGAGAGGGAACTTCTACGCTGCGTCTGATCTGCAGGCCACCGCGTCAAGAAGCAGCAGCTGCGCTTGAGCCCTTTCGCTCTGCAACCAAGCCGGTGAGGACCGTTTGGGATCGACGCATCCGCCTGGTCGGAAGATCTCGCTTGGAACCCAAATAGAGTGACAAACACACTTCTCTCGCTCTGCAAGCTGCGCCGCGCACAGACATTGGGCTGCGAGAAGAAGCAGGGTCGCGCTTCATTGTCATTTGACCAGATCTGGCTCGGCAGAACCACTCTGCAGTCGCATTTTCTCACAGCTGATCCCTTTCCTTTGTCTTGCGAGACGCACCTGTCGATGCTCATTGTCCCAAGACGCTCATCACCCGTGTCAATCATCTTGAACGCTGAACGCAAGACGATCAGGATAGCCACTTGGTCCATCTGGCAGTTCGCAGAGCGATCGGCATGACGGAATGGCTTGGGCGCAGCAGGTAACTTAGTGAAACAAGGCGCCATCTTACCGCGTGCGGCAGAGCGCGTTTTCCTTCGAGGCTAGGCTTGCTGCTCTTCGCATGTTTACGGATAGAAATTTTTGGCCTTGATTTTATTAAATATTTTATGGCGAGTTTCCGAGGATTGCACTCCCGCGTGGATGTGCTCAACACGACGTGGTGTCAGATCTCAAAAAAAGAACTGCACGGCGCTGCTAACCACCGCCGCGCTCGTCGACTGGTCCGGGCTGATGCTGCAATCTTTCACTCCACCATCCTTCGCGCTTCATCCATCCGCACTTTTGCCGGCTGTCTCGTCGTCGTCGAAGCGTCGATCCGGAACACGCTCACCCTGCACTCGTACACTCCCTCAGAACCTCTCGACAGTCACGACGCACGGTTAGTTGCTATAGCTGGTCCATCATGAAGGGTCTCAAGGACTTTCGTAGGTCCCTCAACAAAGACCGCCATTCCGGTGGGAAGCCCTCCGCCTCCAGTGCGAGCCCAGGTACCTTCTCCAACGTCAAGAGTGCCGTGACCATTCAACCACCCAAGCTCGTTATCCGAGCCATCCGCGACTACAAATCCGCATCCCCTCACGAGCTCAGTTTCCATAAGGGCGACTTCTTCCATGTCATCACCGACCCGGCACCCAACGCAGACTGGTTCGAGGCCAACAATCCTATGACCAACGCGCGCGGTCTCGTGCCAGCCAGCCACTTCGATGTGTTGTCCAAGAGCAACCGTGCCGCCTCTGGCACTGCCGCTGGTCCCGGCGCTTCCTCGCCAGCAATTGGCAGCATGTCGCCTCCTTCCGGTTCCGTGCCCCTCCCGACAGGGGCTTCTTCATCTCAGGCATACGGTGGACGCGCTGCAGGTGCTGCCATGACCGCAAAAGGCGGCGGGGGTCTCTACGCCGTGGTCAAGTATGACTTCCTCGCAGAGCGGGCCGACGAACTCGAAGCCAAGGCGGGCGAGTCGATCATCGTCATTGCGCAATCCAACTTTGAGTGGTTCGTCGCCAAACCCATTGGAAGGCTCGGTGGTCCCGGTCTCATTCCCGTGGCTTTCGTCGAGATCCGCGATCTGGTCACAGGGCGACCCATCGAGGACGTGCAGGAGCTCATCGAGAGCGGTGTCGTGCCCAAGGTCGAGGAATGGAAGAAAATGACGGCCGAGTACAAGAAGAACACCATCCCTCTGGGTCGCTTCGACTTCCCACAATCGTCCCAACCCGGCGTCAACTCTCCCTACTCCAACATGGCAGCAGCCGCTTCAGGGAGCAGCAGCAACAATGTTGGCGTCCCCTCCAATGGACTTCACGGCCAGCAATCTTCCATCTCGTCCATGCCCGCTCCTACCCCAGTCTCGAAGGACGACCTCTACCAACAAGCACAAGCTCCCTTCGGCGGTGTAGACCCCTTGCAGCCCTTCGACAACGATGCCATCGACCCGCTCACCTCCCTTCCACCCGGCATGTCGCCCGGCGAGCCCCTCCCCACCGGCATCATCACCTCCGCCACCGTCGACTCGTTCCACTACGAGCAGGGCGACTACTGGTTCCGCATCCAGGCTACGCACGTTGCCGGCCCCTCCGCATCCGCCCCCTCCAACGCCCCCACCGCCCCCGACGGCGAAGAGCGCGACCTCATCCTCTACCGCCTCTACGAAGACTTTTACGAATTCCAGATCGCGCTTCTCGACCACTTCCCAGCCGAAGCGGGTCGTGAGACGGACGCCAACGGGCACGCCAGCGAGCGCATCCTCCCCCTCATGCCTGGCCCGCTCGACGTCGTCGACGACCTCATCACTTCGCAACGTCGCGTCGACCTCGATCAGTACATCATCGAGCTCTGTTCGCTGCCCGAGTACATCATGCGATCGGAGCTCGTGCGGCTCTTCTTCGAGCCGCGACCGGGAGATCACTGCACGTCGCATCCTGCCCGTGGGCCCACGGATGCGCGCAACAGCAGTCTGCAGTACAAGGACTACGGCTACCTCGCTGGTGAGGCTGACGGCGGCAATCAACGATCGAGTCAGTTGGGTCAACCGCAGCAGACGCAAGCGGAGCTGCGAAGCAACGGCAGCAATCGATATGCGGAGGATCAGCCGGTGGGGCGGAGCAGTACGTCCTCCCGCGCGGAGGACGAGTTGAGTGCCAAGATGCGCAATGCCTCTCTGCTCTCCGGGTCGGCAGGTGCCTCTTCGGGTCAGCGCGATTCGACGCGCAGCAGTGCGGTCTTTGGTGGTCCCGGTGGAGCGGCTAGTACAGGTCGAACCTCCGCCTCGAGTGGTCATCGTAAGCAGAACTCTTCCGGACCTTCCTCACAACCACAGGCGACGTCGGGGTCGAGTGCAAACGTTGCGTACCATCGAATCAAGGTGGCACGCCGGAACGATTTGGATAGCGTCATCGCCCTTCGTATGCCTCCCAGCCCGACGTTCGCCCAGCTGCTCGAAAAGGTACGCGAGAGATTGGGTGCGGATGTTACCGCATTCAACTGCAATGAGAGGCCAGAGAGCATTGCCGACGACGCAAGCCTCACCGCTTGGTTGGACGAGGCGACGGACAAAGGATGGAAGCTGATGCTCCACGCTTCGTAGGGGATTGGCTTTGTACGCTTTCACTCGATACCAGTTGGTTGTACTCATATAAAGTCACCGTCACGCTCATTGGTCTGCCGTTTGTGATGCTGGAATTGCTTTATACCCTGAAAGTGATCTTGCCTTTGCTGAAAGAGCGGACGCCCTTGAATGGGCGATACGGGTGGTTCTGCGTGTTCGTCAGGTTCACGCTATCCACCTTCAATTGCGATAGGCCAGCGGTGGGGTTGGTCCATCCAACAGATACCGCGCTAGAATGCGACGGCTTGGCGCTTGCATCGCCCGTCGTCCACGTGACCTTCAACAGGCACGGCCGTTGGGCGTTGGAGGGGAGCAGTTTGGGAATGACCCAACGGAGGATCTTGGTGGTAGGATCGTAGATGTAGCTGCCGTAGAGGTCACCTGGGGACGGCACGAGGGTGGGGGAGAGTGTCCAGGTGGGTGGGACGGGGCCGCCGCCGACGACCGCTTCGATAGACACGACGCCGGGGCCGAGGCCGAAGGTGAGAGTCACGTCCTCCAGTGTGCCGGGTGGATCTGGACCTTTCGCCGCCCGGCCAGTGGGATGTGACGATAACGAGGACGACGTGGTGGAGGATGAAGAGGATGCTTGAATCTGAAACACCGCCGTCGCTGATCCTTTCCCCAGCTCGATGCAGTGTGAGAGGTGGAGCGGCATTCGATTCGTCCATCCGTTGGTCGGCCCTTTGCCTGCCCCTCCCTCTCCGCCAGCAAGGAACGGCGATCCCACGCGAAACAACACCAGCTCAAAATTCCCATCTGGCGGCACAAACGACAACCTCCTCTCCTTCCTCCACACCCGATACCTCACGCACGGATGGAAGCTCTCGTCCTGCACCAGACCCGGCGCATTGAACGTCAATGACAGATCCGGGGTCCCCGACAGCCTCGCATTGCACTGCAATGTTCCCCACACATCCATCGCCACCGGCCGCCCATTCCTCGCCACCACGCCCTCCAGCGTCTCTACCAGGTCGACAAAGATCTCGTTGTTCGTATACTTCGAATTCGCCCTCCTCCACGGAATCGTCGAGATCAGCGGTGGCGGCGCGGCGGATGCCAGTCCCGACACACCCACCGCTTTCACCAGCTTGCCCACCCAGTTCGGCGGCAACACCAGGCTCTTGAGCATGTTGACTTCAGTAGTGAGGATGTTGCCATCGGTATCTACAATCTCTTCGAAGAGCTGGTAGACGATGTCGAAGTTGTCGCGCAGCGTGTCCTCCGTCAGAAGCGAAGGGTCGGTCGACTGGGTGAGGTACTCTTGCAGGATGGAGATGAACGAGCGGAGGAACGTGAGCGGGAGGAGCGGGTCGACCTCGCGAGAGACGGGACAAAGAAAGCGGAGAGGACCGGAGGCGATGTGGATGAGCGCAGCACCTTGTTCGGCCAGCGCTTCGGCGGCTTGTTGTACGACTTGAACCCCTCGCATTTCGTCGGTTGCCGGAGCGGCGGAACGAGGGAGGGATATGGTGTCGGTCGTTGTGTCGTCGATTGGTATTGATGGACGCTGTGATCCAGCTTCATCCCAGACATTGGGCTCCAGTGTTGGATTCGATGGAGCAGTACGGCTCGCTGTGATCCTCGCACTGAGCTGACTCGCTAGCGATAGCTCGCCCATATTGGCCGTGACGTCTGCTGCATCTTCGTCGTCCTCCTCGTCATCTTCGTCGGCCTGATTTTGCAGATCCATAGGGTTGACATCCGGAACGCCAGGCACCCAGATGACGGGCTTGACATCCTTGGTGAAGTAGATGCGGTTGAGCGAGGGGCCCGCTATTGCTGAAGCGCCTGACGTACTTGAGCTAGAGATCTGCGCATTGGCCGAGTTGATCCCGGCCAGGAGGGTTGCAAAGTAGTCTGAATGGAGCAATGGATACGATGGGATCCGGTTGGCAAAGTGCGAATGGACCACGGGCCGACCGTCGGCTGCGAGGACGATGATGCCCTCCAATGGGCCCGACATCCGCGTTGCACGATCCGAGAACTGCTTCTTCGCAGCTTTTAAGAATAGAGACCTGAGGCGGTGTGGTGATGTCGTCGCGATCAAGAAGGTGTCCCGTGCTTCAAAGACCAACACTTGTCGAACCTTGAGAAGAGTTGCTGGCGTCACGTGACGTGCTAGGGTCCGATTCGAGAATTTTTCGCCGGGCATTTCTCCACTTTCCAGCTTCGTCGATCCTTCCTTCCGTTTCATCTTGCATCTCAACCCTACCACTTTTGTTCATCGAAAGACGAGGCAGCAACATGTCGTACCAGGCAAGACCAGCAGGCTCGGCGCCCAGCGGTGGCGCAGGAATGGGCGGGATCGCGACACGCAACCCGGTGATGGAGTACATCTGCGCCGACTGCGCCGCCACCAACGAGATCCGACCTAGGGAACCCATCCGTTGCCGAGAGTGCGGTCACCGTGTCATGTACAAGAAGAGGACGAAGCGCATGCTGCACTTTGAGGCTCGCTAGACGCAGCATCGACCCCTCGAAGACCGCACGGAGCCGGACGAATGATGGATCTAGGATTCCATCGCCCATCCTGTGGACGTTTCGATTGGCGCTCGCGCAGGCCGTTTCCCGCATCAAAAGCATCTCGATCGACCCTCGTAGCCCTCTCGCACCATCCAGAGACTGGCTTCAGCGGATGTCTCACGTCTTCCCACATATGTGTGACCCTATCATCACTTTCGGACGCTGCGTCGTGCTAGCGACGACAGCGCTGTCCTTGGCATCTTCAGCGACGATGTCACATACTCCAGCACCCATCTTCTGCTCTTCTCGGTCCACACTGCCTGCGATGGCGCCCATTCGAGTCAGCGAGGGGCAGAGGCTGTCTCGCGCCTCCTTGCTCGTCTCTCCCTTCTTGTTTGTACTGTTTCACCTATCTTGTACTTTTAGCATACTCACCAGTTCCGTTCATACATTGACTCCGTCTCAAAGCTACATTTCGACCGATTGAGAAGCCAAGACGGAACGATCTGTCGCTTGTCGGCATGACATCAAGAGCACCTTGACATGAGCAGATCGCTTTGCCTCGTGCGAACCTTCAGGAGGATAGGGACGTAGCCTAACCTAACAGATTCAAAAATTCCGCGGCGTGGCTTTGAGAGTGGAGTGAGATTTGTGCCACAAAAGGCGCAGGTGTTGGTGTGCGGAGCTGCGCGATGCTGTCACTGACAAGAGTGCGCTTGACAGGCGTGTCTCTCCGCGCTCTTTATCTCGCATCCTTGCGGACCTTTCTCTACCTTTGCTCACACCACCCACTCTCAACAGCTGTCAGCTCGCCATCACCGCAAACGATGGCGTCGGACACGCTCGCCGTCCCCGACACGGACGCCTCGGCTGCGTCCAACGACGCCAACGGAGCCGCGATGCGACGCGTCTCCTCGACCTCGTCCTCCTACTCGCACATCTCGGAAGGCTCTTCTTCGGGCGACGGTCTTCGCCCCACCCTGTCTCGCGCATCCAGCATCGCCTGGTCGGACGACGGCTCCGTTTCCGGTCCCTCGTTCCGCACCAACAACTCGAGCGCCTCCGCCTCGATGGAGGGCATCGACCTTCTCGGCTCTTCTGGCACCGCTGGCGCACTCCCACTCTCCGACCTGCTGCAAACGTACTTCTCACCGCGCATCGATCTGGCCGGACGCAAATGGTCCGCCTTCTCCGGCGACATGAAGTCGCGTGCGCGTCGTCGGCGCGAGGAACTCGTCCGCAAAGCCAAATCCAAGCGCGAGCTGGCCCAGATGGACGATGAACTCAAAAAGATGCGTCGCAAAGTCTCGCAACGAATCGAGAACCTGCAACAACGCTGGATGGACTCGAAAACCGTTCGTCTCCGGGACAAGATCTCGTTCGTCGTGGGGGTCTGCAACCTCGTCGTCAGCTCGTTGGTCTTTGCCCTTCGACCCGAATGGATTCCGCAACTCTACTCGCTCCTGGCGTTGTACTTTTTGCCCCTCAGAGTGTGGAGCTATACGAGCAAGAAGTGGCACTACTTCCTATTCGATTTCTGCTACTTTCTCAACGTGGCCAACTTGATGTTCATCTGGGTGTTCCCACGATCGGAGTTCCTGTTCACGGTGTGCTACTGTGCAGCGCATGGACCGTTGGCATTCAGCGTTGCGACGTGGAGGAACTCGCTCGTGTTCCATTCGCTCGAGAAGATGACTTCGCTCTTCATCCATCTTTACCCACCATTTGTGTTTACCACCATGGTGCACTTCATGCCACCGGGCGAGGCGGTGGCGCGTTTCCCCGCACTGAAGAACCTCACCACGTTAAACGGATACACATCCTTCTGGTTCAACGTCACCATCTACCTCCTCTGGCAACTCATCTATTACGAGCTTATCGTGATTAGGAAGAAGCGCAAGATCGAGGCGGGCGAACGCATCAATTCCTACTCGACCATGAGTAAGGGTAAAGGCCCCGTGGCGAACTTGCTCGGCAAAGCCCCACCAAAACGCCGCGAACCCGCCTTTATGCTGCTTCAGTTCGTCTATACCATCATCACCACCCTCCCGGCACCCCTTTTGTTGTATCCGAGCAGGACGGCGAGCGCCGTGTTCTTCATGGGCATTTTTGTGGTTAGCGTGTGGAACGGCGCGAGCTACTACGTCGAGGTGTTTGGGAGGAGGTTCGAGAAGGAGCTGCTGGAGTTGAGGAGGGAGATGGAGATGATGAAGGCGACCGAGAGCGTGGTATCGGGTGCCGCGGCGGAGGGGAAGGTCGAGGAGGCGCTGGAGAAGGGAGCGGCGGATGCGGAGGAGGGAGAGGAGGATGCGGCGGTTGCAGCAAGCGGCTTACCCGATGGTGGGGAGGATAAGAAGCATGTCTAACCGCTGCTCCAACATACACTCACGAGAGATTTTGCACACAAACGCCAATGATACCACACAATGAAAACATGCAAAGGGTGGGATTGATTGAAAGTGATCTCAAGTGGTCCACAGGACGGCATTTCCATCAGCCCCCGCAGAGAACAACCACGGCTGGTTCGGGTGCCACTTGACATCCAACACTCCCAAACCATTCCTCACCTCGTGACCCCTCAGCACTTTGAGCGGCACCAGCGTCAGACTATCCCCGTAATCCTTGCCCACCTTGGCGTAGAACAGCTGCAACGTCCCATCGTCGCTTGCATCCGCAACAAGGTTCCATGCGGTACTAAAGTGCACCGCACGAACCGCCTTTGCGTGGTACTTGAGCACTTTGAACGGTCGGGTGGAGAGATCGAGGTCGAACCAAGCCAACTTCTTATCGTAACTACCGACGATCACGTGGTCTCCCGAAGGGTGGACGTCGAGGGACGAGATCCACTTGAAGCCCGACTGGAGGGTCTTGACGAGCGACTGGGCCATCAGGTCATACACCCGGACATAGCGCTGCGTCGCCACAAACACCCACGGCTTGCTAGGGTGGAAGACGAGTTTCTGCACCGAAGACCCCCGAGAGGCTTTGCGGAAGGGCGACTGCGATCGGTGCCTGGACAGTTGGTGGATCAACAGCCCGGCCGCACCGGCGGCGGAATCGGGACAGACGGTGGCAAAGTAGTCGCCCTTGTTGTGCCACACCACGGTCTTGAGGTTGCTCGCGTTGGTCGAGGTGATGTTGAGGTGCATCGCGACACCGGCGCGACGGTCAGGTTCAGCAGGGCGCGTCCAGGCGACGGGAGAGCGGGCGTCGGGCTTGCTCGGCATCGACGTCGCCGCTGCAGCGGTCGCGTAGAGGAACGAGGCGGTGGACGTGGCTGTCGAGCCAGAAGCGGACGAGGCAGACTTCGACGAGATGGCGTTGGCCGACGTCTTTGCATAGTTCTGGGTTTGCGGTGGCGCGATGATGGCGATGCGACCGTGAACGGCGGCAGCGAAGAGCGAGTAGTTTCGCGTCGGGCACCAGGCGATCGAGTGGACCGCGGAACGTTCCGCTTTGGGCATGCCTTCGCATACATCCCACGACGCGGTGCATCGGCCGATGGCAACGTCCCATAGTCGGGCGCGACCGTCGTCACCACCCGTAACAAGCCAGTGGCCCGTCGGGTCGACCGAAAGGCATCGCACCCTGCCGCCGTCCGGATGCGCGTACACCACGCTCGTCGTCGTTGGGAATGGCCTGAGCTCCTTGGGCGATGGCAACTTGGGCAGCAGGTTCTCCGGGTTGTGGATGTCGAGCTTCTTGCGCATCATCCTCGGCGCCAGGTACAGATCCAGACATCGCTCAAAGCGCTCCTGTACAAAGTTCTGATACGCGCCAACACGGCGTAACGAATCAGCCTTGGCGGGAAGGAAGTTCTGCTTGCGGTCTTCCGGCTCGGCCTCCTCCCAGTCTTTGCGTTCTTGCTCGTTGAATAGGTACTCTGCGGGTGGGTTGTACGACTCGGCGTGACCGGGGAGGGCCAGCTTGGGTGCGGCCATGACAGCCCACGGACTGCGAGTGTCGTTCTCGTCAGCGTCGGCCCAGATGTTGTAGAACCTGGGCTTGGTGTCCTTCTTGGCAGCCGCTCCCGGGATGATGCGACCTTCGCGAATAGCTCGCACGATCTTCATGACCTTCTTGTGCTCCCATTTGGAGGGCACGAATCGAGACTTGGGCTCGGGTCGACCAGAGAGCGCGGTCTGCATGACCTTGTCCTCGCCGGTGAACCAGTCGACGTAGTCCTCATACGGGTCATAGGCGTCGTCAGGAATTTCTGCGTTCTGAAGCTTGCGGATGATGGCGAGCTCCTCGTCTGACAATCGAACGTCTTTGCCGGTCGAGTTGTCGCGAGCCGAGAACCACGCCTCTCCATCACCGTCGACTGTGTCGAGGAACTTTTCGAGCTCGTCCTTGGTGGCTGGCTTCATGACCTTGCGTCCGTTGATGTCGTAGCCGATGTGAGGAAGGTCGTCATACCACTCGAGTGGCACATTGCCAATTCGGTTCTCTGCGTTCTCCGTGCTGCTGTCCGAGTCGTACTCTGCGTCGATCTCGGGGTAGACCCGCTTCATCTCTCCGGTGATCTCGCTGCGCTTGAAGACGCCCTTTGCCGAGCCATCCGGGTTGCGAACCCGCAGGTCGAAGGCCTGTGCTGCTTGCGAACGTGGAATGCCGAGCTTGTTGGTGGCGGAAAGCGAGCCGGACTGCTCGTCGGGCTTCGAAGAGTAGCGTACCATCATGCGCGAGAGCTCTTCGTCGATGCTGGTCTGCGAAGCGTCGCTGCGGGCGGCGAAGGCAGAGGCACGCGCTTCCTCGTCCGCTGAATCGTAGGCGAGATCGCCCTCGTCGTCGTCTTCGTCAAAGTCGGAATTGTCGATGTCCGACGAGTTGTAGCCTTGTTCGGAAGATTCGCCCTCCTCATCCGCCTGACTGTCCTGAAGCTCCACAGACTCGTCGTCCGCATCCTCCTCGTCATGATCTTCGCTGTCTGCTGCGTCCTCATCGTCGCTCGCCTCGAGGTCGATTTCGGGGAACTCGTCCTGAGCATCATCGTCAGATCCATTATCTGATGCTAGTGCTTCTTCATCTTCGTCGTCATCAGAAGCCAAGCCGAGCCCGGCTGCTTCGTCGTCGTCGGAGTTACCGAGATCGAGCTCGAGAGCCTTCGACTTGCCCTTAGCTGGTGCGGGTGCTCTTGTGATGGGTGGGGTAGATGTAGTGGCGGCAGGTATAGGGACATTGCGCTTCCTCTTTGCAGTGCCATTGCGAGCGGCCGAAGCCGGGGCCGAGCTCGAGGCAGTCGGGCGCGCCATTGCTATGCTCGATGTCTGCAGCTGCTGTGAAAAGGCTATGATGGTTGTGGGCAATCGTGTAAGCCTCTGGAGTGAAGGTTGTCGAAGACAGCATGGACACGGCTCAGGGTTCACTTTTTTTGAGAAGAAACCTTTTTTGCCTCGAAATTTTTGCTGGCTGCAGGCCAAGCAACTTTGGCGTGTGTGGAGTGGTGGCCTCTTCCCGGCCGGATGGAAGAAGGAGGGCATCTGAGCTTTCGCGTCGCGAGACAGAGATTTGAGCTTGAGCCATCTCCATCCATTACCGACTTTGACAACTCCATCACTCGCACACTCTTCGGCACGCCATCTACGCCAAATCACATCCTGCCAACCATTGCCGTCATCATCACATATATCATCGCTAGCAGGTCACCAACAAGCTCGCGGTCAAAATGCCAGGCGTCTACGGAGGAGACGAGATCAATGCGCTCGTCATCGATGCCGGTCACTCTTCCAGTCGAGTCGGGTGGGCGGGCGAGGATGCACCTCGAGTCGTCGTCCCCTCGTACTACGGTCACACATCCATTAGCGATGAGAGCATCGCCGAGCTCGAATCGCAAGCGGCTCTTCTCGCCTCTTCATCTTCCACCGCCGCTGCGCCTGCTGATGGCGACGAGGCCATGGCGGACGGGGAAGCCGCCTCGACATCCAACGGCGCCGGCGACGCTGCAACCGAAGAAGCATCCGATCACCGACTCAAGCAGTCGCGCGCCAAAGCCGCCAACAAAGCGCTGCGTTTCTCCGTCGATCGCGAAAAGAAGCGCCGCCGCTACGTAGGCGATAACGACCTCAACCTCTACCGCTCTTCCTTTGACATCTCTCCGATCTTTGACGACGATGGCATTCTCTCGGACGCCTCGGCGTTTGCGCAGCTGTGCTCGTTCGGGCTGGACTCGCTCTCGTGCGATGCGCGGGAGCACCCTCTGTTGCTGACCGAGCCGGCGTGGAACGCGCGCGAGTCGCGCGAGAAGCTCACCGAGCTGGCCTTCGAGACGCTCGGCAGCCCCGCGTTCTATTTGGCCAACCGGAGCGTGCTGAGCAGCTTCGCGGCGGGCAAGCCGAGCAGCTTGGTTATTGATGTGGGCAGCACTAGCGTCTCAACCATCCCCATCGTCGATGGGTTCATCCTCCGCAAGGGCATTCACAGGCACAACAACGGCGGTGACGCCATCAACCGCGCACTGCTATACAGCCTGCATCACGGGCGAGGCACGACGTTCGGCGGAGTCACACCGCAGTATCTGCTCAAGAGCCGGTCCGCCGTCGACCCGGGCGCAGCGGCAAACGCAGTGTTGAGGCAAGACCGCGTCGATGGTGCCACTTCTTCCTTCAGGAACTACCACGTCAACCGCGTAGTCAACGATTTTAAGGAGAGCGTAGCGCAGGTGCTCGAGGTGCCGTGGGACGACCAGCAGGCGCAGTTCCGCTCTGGGCGAATGTACGAGTTCCCGGATGGCTACAACGACGCTTTTGGTGTGGAACGTCTTCGGGCGCCCGAGGTGCTTTTCACTCCGACGTTGTGGTCCGGTGTCTCTTCGCCGGAAAGCGGGGCTGTCCTACACCCTTCCTCCACTCCTTCGACGGAGAACGGTGCGGGAGCCGAGAGCGTGGCGGGGGGCAAAGCAGCCGTGGGACTCGCCGACATGGTGCTTTCCTCGATCAATGCCGTGGATGTCGACTCGCGCCCCTCGCTGTTCGGCAACATCGTCCTCGTCGGCGGCTCCTCCCTGCTGCCCGGCCTCAGCGACAGGTTGAGCTACGAACTCGGCGTCAGAGCGCCCAATCAGAAGGTCAAGATTCACTCTCCAGGTAACACCACCGAGCGCAGACACTCGTCCTGGCTCGGAGGCAGTATCCTGGCTAGTCTGGGCACGTTTCACCAGCTCTGGATCTCAAAGCAGGAGTACGATGAGCACGGAGCAGCCATTGTTCACGCCCGCTGCAAGTAGGTTTTATTTCTTGGTCACCTTGTATTGCGCTCTCTATCTATCAGAAACTCTTCACACATCGGCAGCTTCGGGATTGTTCTGAATCGCCACTTGGATGAGTCTGTGCGGACTTGTCAGTCCTTGAAACAAGTCCCATGCAGCACCGCTCGGGCTCTTGCATCTTTCTCCTTCCCAATCCTGTCACGCTCCGCACAGACAGTCCTCACACTCCCTCATGTCCCATTCCATCATCACAAACATCTCGAGAGTCCAGGGTAATAAATCAAATGACATGCAGCTCCAAAGAGAACAAACGTGCTGCTTCTCACGACCGCTTTACCAGATGGTAGCGCCGCCGTCGGGGCGAATGACGGAGCCGGTCATGTAGGACGACTTGTCGCTGAGCAGGAGGATGCAAGGCTCGGCCTGCTCGTGGGGCTCGGAGAACCTGCCGAGGGGGACGGTGTTGGCCTGGTAATCGCGGATCTTCTGGTCCATACCGCTCGTCTGTTCCGTGTTGCAGAAACCGGGTTCGAGGATGTTGACGCGAATACCGTGGGGGGCCCACTCAGCGGCAAGACACTTGCCCAGGTTGGTCACGGCACCCTTGGACGAGTTGTAGAATACCTGCGTCAAAGGGTCGTTGAGGCCCTTCTGGTTGTAAATCTGCGACGACATGGACGAGTTGATGATGATCGATCCCTTCTTGTAGCCAGACTCGATCCAGAGCTGCGCAGCGGCCTTGGCGGTGTTGAAGACACCGAGGACGTTGGTGTCGTAGACGTAGCGGAAGTCGTCCTTGGTGAGCTCGGTGGCCGGCTTGACAACGGAAACACCGGCGTTGGCGACAAGGCCAGTGATCTGTCCGAGATCGTCCTGAGCTTGCTTGAGCGTCTTCTTGACAAGCTCATCGTCTCCGACGTCGCACTGGTAGGCCTTGACCTGAACACCGAACTTCTTGGCCACTTCTTCGGCCGCTTCTTGCGCCTTGGGGTGCGAACGGTAGAGGATGGCCACGTTGGCACCGGCACCGGCGACGGCTTCGCTGATGGCGAGACCTGCGAGTTTAAACGGAATGAACGGAGAGATTAAGACAAAGAATGTCAGTCAATGGGATCTTGGTGGGCGGATCAAGGGGCAGCGGGACTTCTGCATTGTGATGACGTGGCTGCTTGGAACGCTTGAAACAATCCCTCGAGATGCTGGTACGGCTGCAAGCCATCCGCAATCAGCCTGGGAGCCCGGCTGCCATGGTAGGTATCGCTAGCATGACCAGAATGGCAGCGATAGCATTGACACATCAGCAGCAGGTTTGAATGCGACACTTACCGATACCACGGTTACCGCCGGTGACGACGACGGTCTGGCCTTGGAGGTCAATGACGAAAGGCATTCTTGTGATGAGCGACGAAGAAAAGGTTCTGGTAAGAGAGGGTGGGAAGGGAACGGGACGTCGATGGGCGAGAGCGATAGACGGGATACGAGGAGAAGGAGGGAGGGAGGCAGCGAGGCGTGTGGATGGCAAGCGTAGGAGGTATTTAATCATGTTGGCTGTTCTCCACTCTAGGGTCGTCCTCTGGCTGTCTCAAATAAGCGAGAGGACAGGCTCAAGCGCACACGCAGGGTCAAGGAGGGGAGAAGAGGCGTGGGAATGTCATCGCTTCCCAGCCGAAACGATGGGACAGAGGGAGAGGCTCGTCGGAAGGCGTCCTCCGCCAGGGTAGATTAGGTGGAGCGAGACAGTCAGCACCGCGATATGGAGAGAGAGCGAGGGATGGTCCAAGCGTCACGAGCTGGAGTTGTACCGCTGATTCATGGCAAGAGGCAAATCTGCGTTGCTCCGTCACACGGCCTGGCGTTGCTTCTCGACTCGATCCAGGGTCGGTGGTTTTTCTGTGCCGAGCTACAGCATACCTGAACCTTGTCTTCTTGGTGGTTGTCGACTTGACCCATCGTCGGACTTCTACGCAAAGACAATAAGATTCCTATATCGAGGCTGTGTCTCCCGCACTCAATTGGCATTCCGAATGCTCGGTCAAGATATCGCCGTTGTTGTGATACACTTTCATCTCACTCTGTTCGGCTTTCGCCATCCAGGAATTGGGGTCATGTGCCCTGTTTGGCCCAAGCTGTTGCATTGGCGAGTCCTCGGCAGATCGAGGCCGACATCTATATCGCCTCTATTGGTTCTTTCTTCACGCTCGAGTCCGCGATGGATGGATGGACTCGAGGATTGGGCTTGGCACAGAAGATTCGAGTGCCATCGGATCTTCAGGCCGTGCGCGTGGGGGAGCCACAGTGGAGGCATGGGATGCAGCTAGACGCGCATCATGACGCACGGTGCAGCTCCATCGGTCAAAAGCTGGGACAAGAGAGCAAACAAAATCGAGACTCCGATGGTGATGGCTCACGCGCGGATGACTGAGAGAGAGAGGCTGGCAGATCCGGAAACATGGCGATTCCGAGCGTCCCTCAGGGTCAGCATCGGGAAGCGCATCCGCGTTGAACAAGCCATGCTTGCGATGTGCGACCTGCAGCTGTCGGTGCCTGACCCGCCTTCTCTCTTGCCTTGAGCTTGGTCTTCTGTCGATCAGCCGATTCGCCTGCCGCCCGTCCGCCGATGAGCAAGCTTGGCTCTCGCCCCATCAATGTTAAGATCTTGGTGTGCATAACCTTGTTGTCAGCTCGGGACGACTTGTCTGCTTGCCTCTCAGCCGAAACTTTCAACTTGCCGATTCTAGTCGCCGCCATGCGTTGAAGCGATGGCAAGATTCATTCGAGGGCCCGTCTGACCGTTGCCGAGTCAAATTGACATCTAGTCATGTCGATCCTCGGTCCCACAGGAACACACGACCCCGAAGCAACGTGTATACCTTGCTCGATCTCACAAGACCCAACAGCATGCCTCAACGATGTGAACAGCTGATTTCGACGGCCGGACGTCAGAATCGAGATGCAGTGCGGCGTACAGGCGCACGTTTCGGTGACCACGCGGAGTGGTGACGCAGCTGTTTTTCCAGACAGAGCTGCAGCCCGCTCTTGTTTTAGCGAGGCGGGCCGGGGTGGGCGCCAAGAAGATTCCGGCGCGCTCCAAAAAAGAATATGCAAAGCCGTCATAAGCTTTGTGGTGCGTGGTGCGGGTCTTCGCCACCTCGCCCCGCGTCACCGCCAAGCGTGACGGTCTGTCCTTAGCCATCAGCCGTGTCATACCAAGGGTCCTGCTTCCAAAGCACGCTCCAAGACTCTTGGCGACTGCCATCGCTCCGTCAATCTTCTTCACGACCACCTCATATCTCCGGCCAAGTCGACTCTCGAATCGGTCTTCCCCCTCGCTAACCTCATCAAGGCATCCTCACATCATCATCCACAAGCACCGCACGTCACACGCCGTTGGACAGATCGTCCTTGCAGACCAACCACAACTTTCGTACATCTCTTTGCATTGCATTTATAGGCATCTCTATCCTTCAACGAGCTCCTTCTCTACCTCTTTTCCGCTCCTGCAACACCTGCCGCGCAACCTCGATATCAATTCTCGTTCCCACGCACCACCATCCTCGCATCGCCCGCTGACCACATCGCAGCAACCATGGGCGCAGAAAGCGACCTCTACCCATCACGCGGTTTCTCCGATGAACCGCAGATCACACCACCGCGCAAGCCATTCTATCGGCGAGGCGGCTTCATCTTTCTCGTCGTTGTCGCCTGCCTTGTCGCCGCCATCGTACCCCCACTCGTCGTCTTCCGCGATCGACTCGGCCGTTCTTCCTCATCCTCCCCCTTTGCCGACCCACCATTCTGGAACGGCACCGGTCCGAACAACAATCCCTTCGGCACATGCTTCACTACCCAAGCGACCGCCTTCCAGCCCTACTGGAAAGAGCAGTTGGACGTAACCTGGTGTGGAACCCAGTTCAACCGCTCTTCCCCCATCTTCGCCTTGCCGTTGCTCAACATGTCCCAGGCAGTGGGTGCGGACGAGAGGGTGACGCACGATGTGAATCGCACGTTGTGGAACAGCATGACGCGCAATTGGTGCGGTGCCGAAGCCAAGATCATGGGTCCAGCAGGAGAGTTTACTGCGATTCTGGCAGATGCGAGCACCTGGAGAACGGCGGATTTCAACATGGGGCTGTTCGAGGCCGTGAGGGGGACGAAGAACGGAACGTATAGAGATCCAGATCAGGCCGGGTGGATAGACGAGGTGAGGATCTGCTTCACAGGGAATAGGACGGATATCGGCGACGGGACCTATCCGTTTAGCTACCCCTTGCCCGCTTCCTCGTCGTCGTAGTCCTGCATTAGAGTTTGTATCCATAGATCGTTTTAGCATTCATAGCATTCAGCCTTCGAAGGGTGTGCTTGTGCGAGCGCTTGAAGTTGGTTCCACATTCGACAGGCGGTCCATGGAAGCCAAGGTGAGTGGGGCACTTGATTGCAATGTGGGTCGGAAACAGCGTCTATCCAAGATTTGGGAAGGGCGGTGACGGACCAGTGCCATTGTAGATGATCCCAGCAGCATTGGGATTGTTCTCCGGCTCAGGGTAACCCATCGCCTGCTTGATCAGCTCCTCCTTGTCCGTCGGCCTATTCGGATATGCCTCCGTGAGACCCTCCCACCACGTCGTATTCTCAAATTTGACCTTCCATTCCTCTCCACGCATCGTCGAGTTGTGCGGCATCTGATAGACGAAGCCTACCCTCGTGGCGTCAGCGAACCAGTAGTACGCCCGAGTGGTCAGGACGAATCGGTCGTTGATGTACACCTCGAGCGCGGAACCGTCGACGAAGAGGCGCAGGTGAAGCTTCTCCAGTCCAGCAGTGGTGTTCCACAGTCGAAGCTTGCCGACTTCAGGTGTTGTGAGGACGGAGGAAGCGCCGAGAGCAGTGCGCTTCTGCACGATAACAGATTCGTTCCGTGGCTGATAGACCACCGCCACATCTTCGGATGTGGAGCTGGACTGCGGGGTGCGGAGGAGCGAGATGCCCGCAGCAAAGTCGGCAGTGTCGTTGCGCAACGAGGAAAGGGGGAACGTGATCGTGGTGGACAACTCGTAGTGCCTGCTCGAAGGGTGACGCGGGAGCGGGATGAAGAGCTCGTGGATCAGCGTCGCGTTGTCGCCCGCCGTGATGGTACGCAGTTCGGGGTTGAGTGAAGCGATGCACGATGCGTTGTCGTTAAAGTCCTGCGGTTGGAGGGTGAGAGCCGGGTGGTGGTACGAGTCGTTTGCGTTGGTTCGGAACGCCGAGAGTTCCGCTGCGGGCTTGATGCCCAGCATGACAAGGTCGACCGTTGAGCGATTTGCTGCGGTCGACCCCGCAAATTGGGTGAGAGGGATGGTCGTAATGTTCGAAGAGGAGGAAGGATCGAGGATGGCCCAGGAGGCGTTTTCGCGAACGAGCTCGTCATTCACCACACCATCGACCCGCTTGACGTACAACTCCCTTGGCAGCGTCAGGGATGATATGTACTGCGTGACGAACTTGGTCGCGTCCTGAGTAGCGAAGGCCTCTTTGATCCAGCAGTATACGATCCTCCTCGCTGGACTCGACGCTCCATCGCGCAACCCAGTGCACGCATATGCTAGACCCCAGTCCAACACGCCCTCCAGCGCCGTCTGCATCTCGACACCCTGCTTCGCGCCCACCACACCGTCTGCGAGACTTGCATTGACGGGTGTGGTCTCGATCCCGGCGTTCTCGTCCCAATGGCCAAGACGGTACAGCATGAGCGTGTGGTTGCTCTCCGCACCGTACGACGCATACGCCAGTCCAGTGCCCTCATAGGAGCTATCTCCATCAAAGTCGAGGTTGGTGATTTGCGAACATTCGTAGTTGTTTCCATCCGAGTAGTCGGTTGCCGCCCACCCAGAGCCCTTGGTCACAAAAGTGTCGTTGATCGTGGACCGCAGCAGGGGCCCGGCGAAAGTCCAGTTGAGCCAGTTGCCCGGTTCACTTTGCTTGTACAACCAAACCCTGGGTCCTGCCTGTTCGAATGACACCCCCGGCAGACCGGGCTGGGCGGGATGCAAACCCGAAGAGAGCGTCACATAGTGCATCGGTTCCCCGCTGGAGACGTTGAGCAGGCTGTCGAATTGGGCATTGCGAAAGATGTATGGGTCACGGAAACCGGTGACCACCCCACCCTTGTACGGCGGACGCGGAATGACAGGTACGTTGGCGCCACCATCGAGCTTGATCCACGTCTTACCCTGGTTCTGCGAGTAGGCGAGACCTTGCGACTCGTACCCGTCGACGTAGGGAATGGTCCAGCTGATCGGCAAGCCTTTTACGGCAGTCCAGATCAAGGTGGGTAGACCTTTGTAGCCGGACGCGACGACGCTACCGTCAAAATCGGCGATGTAGTCGACTTCGTTTCCTGGTCCCATCTGCACAGGATTCTGCCAGCCAGAAAGGTCTTCATACTGCACGAAATCCTTAGTGGTTGACCCGGAGAAAGCGGATGTCGAGAGCGAGGCGTTGCCCGTGCCACGAAGGAACGAGTAGAGCGCGGTGATGTGCGACGTGCCGTCGGGGGCCTGCCAGAACGCGGTCGGGTCGCCGAGCTGGTTGGACGGGTGGATGAAGTGCGCGCGCGGTCGCCAGTGGTAGAAGAGCGAACCGTTAGGGTAGTTCGAGACGTTGGCGATCGGAGGTTGGGTGAAATCCGGGGAAGAGGTGGCGAGGACTGCGGCGAGGCTGCCTAGCGGCAGCAGGCTGATCAGGGAGAGGACTCGCATCTTGAAGAACGTTGGCGGTGAGCGAGGGACATGCTGTCGCCTTAGTCCTTTTGTACCGCTCTGCTTATGGAACAGCAAGATAGGATCAGGCAAGTCGCCGGTCGACGTGCCGGGCGGCCAAAACGGCAGGCGGCCGGGCATGGTTTGCTTTGAGGGATGGGAGCGCACCAACGGAGCCCCAGGCCGCCGGCGATTTTTCGGCCCCAGTAGGTCACCGCGCATGACGATCATGCTCTCACCTGTCAAAAAGCAGATGCCGCTCCTCGACCGTCCCTCGCCCACGCATTTGATTTACAGAGAAGACTTTACGACAGGCAACTCATCGCACAGAGCCGGCCAGCCGAGGTTGGTGCTCTGCGATTGCCCGGTGTCGGTTGGTCCTGATGGCGTCGATGCCGTCAGTTGCACCAAGCGAAAGGTCACGCAGTTAGGTAGCACGGACAAGTCTCGGTCTCGCTTCGAGGCAAAGAGGAGCGAGGTCGGAGCGGCAAAGAGGGAAAAATTTGGAGTTCAAGTGTTAAAGATCCAGGTCAGACAAATATGGAATTTTGCCTAGGCTCAGATGTGGAGTAGAAAATGGTGATCGAAGGCACAGCAGGCCGCACAGGGTTCAGCCAGACGCAGCTCGAGGAGCCGTGGACGCGTTGACCACCTTCTCAAATTTGGGAAGCTCACTGCGCTTCAGAAGTGTTGCTTTGCATTTCATCGTCCACCCACCCTCACCTTCGTCTCGATCTTCCAGTCACCTTGCACACACACTCACAGCTATTCCGGACGACCTACAGCAGCGAACTCAGCAGAACAGAAGGGCATCAAGCGAGCGCCCAGCACAACTGAACAGGAGCTCGAACAGCACGGCCCCATAGAATCGCAACCATGTCGGCCGGAGCAGGAGACGGAGCCTACTCGTTCTCGCTCACCACTTTCTCGCCGTCAGGCAAGCTTGTGCAGATCGAGCATGCGCTTGCAGCCGTTTCGCAAGGCGCCACCTCCCTCGGGATCAAAGCATCGAATGCGATTGTAATTGCGACGGAGAAGCGGGCGCCATCTCCGCTCGTGGACGACTCGGCTCTGGAGCGCATCAGCGTCATCTGCCCCAACATCGGCATGGTGTATTCTGGCATGGGGCCTGATTTCCGTGTGCTCGTCAGCTCGGCTCGCAAAGCGGCGCAGACGTACTGGAAGACGTTCGGCGAGTATCCCCCGACGAGGGTGCTCGTGCAGGAGATCGCAACGCTCATGCAGCAGGCTACCCAACGTGGCGGTGTCCGACCTTTTGGTGTCAGTCTCCTCGTCGCCGGCTTCGACAGCGCACGCGGCCCAAGTCTGTATCAAGTCGACCCAAGCGGCAGCTACTTTATGTGGAAGGCCAGCGCCATCGGCAAGAACATGCAGAACGCAAAGACGTTCCTCGAGAAGAGGTACAACGACGACATCTCCCAAGAGGACGCCATTCACACCGCACTGCTCACACTCAAGGAAGGATTCGAGGGTCAGATGACGGAGAAGACCATCGAGATTGGCGTCATCAGCGATACGTTCAAGAAGGCACTCGGGAACGGGGATGTAGGGGAACCAATTCCGGTGTTTAGGAAGTTGAGCGAGAGCGAGATCAAGGACTATCTTGCGTTGTAGGTGCGGCGAAATGGTATCCATTCGACAGAGATGTAATGCTTGCAGATCGAAAGAGGCTGCGACTGTGAGCGCTGATCAGAGCCCGACACGGCAACCACACCCAGGCTTTGGCTTTCATCGTGTGTACAAATTGCTTTTCATTCCACTGTTCGTACCTGATTGAGCTACTGCGCACTTCCAACCACCCTCCCCCAGTTGCTCAGGAGGGACACAACCAACGCCAACACGCGCTTGGTCTCCTCGGTCCCTCCGGCCACCACTTGGCTCGCCGTTGTAACAGGACTCTGCTGGCTCGCGGTGAACAGCGCCGCGACCAGCAGCCCAGAGAGACCGACGACGGCGAGCATGCGTGCTTGATGCTTCTGCTCGCTGAGACTCAGTCGGCGTTTGCGATGCGAGTGCTTCTCGTCGGACAGCTTTTCGTCGAAGTCCGAGGCGGGGGGCGTCGGTGATGGTGGGTGGGGATCGCGGACGATGGCGTCGGTGGGCCCGGTCAGTGCGGACTCTGCTTGTGCGTTGAGCGTTTGCCAGTCGATGAGAGGTTCGTCTGGTGAGGATGAGTCTGGGGTGTTGTTTCGGTCAGCTTTTGTATCCAGTGTGTGAGCGGAATCAAATGTGCTCGGCCAGGTGAAGAGGACGCTGGACGGACCCATGATCTTCTCTGCCTCCAAAGCATCGCACGGGAGAGGGAAGCGCTGCATCAGAGCGACCGCCTCCTGCAACAACGTCGATATCGGCGTACCCGTCTTGGCTGTCTTTGGCTCGTCGTCCGTACTTGAGCGGCTGGAAGCGGCGAGCGCACGATCTGAAGCCAGACTCGGCAACTCAACGTCTGGATCCGTATAGATGAGATTCGAGTCGGTGGTACTGTTCCCATTCCTCCTCTCCGTCTGGCTCTCTTCTGCGCTGCGGGTGCTACTGCTGCCAATGCTATCCGCTGAATCCTCCACATCCGCAATGATGGACGGCAATCTGCTCAGAATGGTGTGGAGCATCGCTGGATCTTCGAGCTCATCCACGTCCATTCCTTCGATCTCTTCTTTCCTGACCAGCAGCACCGCCGCGCAGAGGTAGATCGCAGAAGCAGGTCCGTAGGCAAGCACGAATTCGAGCACGCGCCGCATCACCGCTACGTCGGTTACATCGTGGGTTAACAGCGTCAGCAGCCACGGCAATGCAAAGAATGGCAGCGGCGATGCGCGATCAACTAGCTCGGCAAAAAGCGGATCGACGGAGCGCAGGAGGTTGCCAAGCATCTTGAGCTGGCCCATGATGGGGAGGAGATCGCGCGTCATGCTATCGCGGATGAGGTGGAGGCTGATGCGTTCGACGACGAGCTCGATCTGCGCTTGCTGACGTTCATGTGGAAAGAGTTGGGCGTTGGGCGACGGTCGATCGGGCGACAAGGTGAGGAGGATGACGGCGACAATGTCGTGATAGCCTTGGAAGTAGTGTAATGATGGGTAGCGGGAGAGCGTGGTGAGGATGAGGTGAGTGAGCTGTTTTCGCCGCAAGGCTTTGTCCTGTGCTGGTGTGGCATCGTTGCTGCTCGACGAAAAGAGATGCTGGAAAGCGGAGCCGATGAAGCTACGATCAACGTCCTTGGCCACCTGCTCGATGTCTCTGTTGGACAGACTTGGGTATCGCTGTTGATGTGTCCGCGATGCTTCTTGCGGAGTCTGCTTTGGTGTGCTGCCTACGGTTCCAGTCGCGACTTGCGGTTCAACGCTCAGATCCGGTGACATCGTCAGAGGCGAATCAGGCGAACAGTCTTCAGGTGAAAACGCCGTACTGCTCTGCATTGAGCCGGAAGGATCTGGCGAGTTGGGCTCGGACGCAGTTGTGGCGGTCTCTGCATCTCTGCGTCTTTTGGACTTTTTGTGCCTGACGACCTTCCAGCCGTCGTCGGCTGGCGTCGGGTCCTTGGTGGCGTTCTGCTTGGAGCTACCGAAAGAGGAGCCGCCCTCAGCTTGAAGGATGTTGTCGGCAATCTGCCATCCGTCTGCATCAAGAGGCCCTTTCGTCGAGGTCACGCCCTGCTTGCCATGATCGGATTCTGCCGAAGGCTGCTGCTTCGCTTGCAAGGTGGAAGCATGGGCACGGACATGATCGTCCGTGATGCCAAGCAGAAGGAGCCATGAGTCCGTGCGTGATTCTGGCGTGGCCGAATGATCGAGTCCTGATGGTGCAAGGCACTGCTTTTGAAGCTCTCGACGACGATGCTTGGTTCTTTGCTGACCGTCGATCTGCCGCTGAGAAGAGCCGGACGCTGAGCTCTGGGCTCTTTGCGCCGTTTCGGATGCCATGACCATACTCTCGCACTATGTAGTCATCTCTAAGATGAGTGCTGTCAGATGCCCGCTGACTGTGTGAATGGTGACTTGTTGGAAGGAATGCGTTTCGTGAGAAAGCGCGAGTGAGTGAGTGTCCCGTGCGTCAGTCACGCCCGCAAAATTGAGAGCACGTCGGCAGCGGATTGAGCCGAACAAAAAAGAGAGCTCAGGGTCCAACGTGGTGGTTGAGGGATCCTCGCGGACGGTATCCGTAAGCCGATGTCAGCGTGGCAGGCTCCCGAAGCGCTTCCCACGGTCGGTCGAGAGGGTCGTAGGGTCGCTGGTGTCGTCGGATGATCCGAGACAGGGGACGAAACGCCACAAGAGCAGCATTGCTCGGATCCGACCAAGCTGCACACCCGAAAGCATGCCCTGGACCGCACTCCAACGTAGCGCCATGCTCGGATCCAGCCGATGATGCTCTTGGCAAGTGGTATTGATTTGGCATGCTCGCGCCGGGCCAAGCAAAGACACAGGCACGAGCCCAGCCGCCCTTACACAGCGAGCGCGGCAAGCGCGGATCAAGACAGATCAACTCCAGAGCTAGCGGAGGCGGGTCTGCGACGCCCAAGCCTGTTTCAGCCAATTTCGAATTTGAGTCGACGGACAGGAACGGCGGCAGATCTTGCTCAAGATCAAGATTCGTGTGATGCTGTTTGAAGCTTGGTCACATCGCAGACGCACAATGCAGCTGCAAATGTGGATCTGTGTCAATATGACATGAGCCTGTCCTGCCCTTGACACAGGAACCAAAGGACGTGCATGCTGCAAGCCTGCGAGCCTGCAGTCGGGACCATGACCGACAATGATCGCCGGTCGATATTTCTCATCACGGCTTTTTGGTGATCCTGCATCTCCTCCTCGCCGTCGACATATCTCGGGCCAAGAGCGGTCCTTCTTGCTTCGGCCTTCGCAGCCACACGGACAGCCCGACTGGATTGTGATACGGGATACACTGCTCAAAGCGGCGTCGTCCAGCAAAGGTATGCAATGCAAGCGAGCCAGTCCGCGGGTCCGGCATATGCCTTTCCGTCGTTTTCCTGCGAAACGGACCGGGTTGGAAATGCGCTTCCTGTCTCAGGCTCAACCCGAGTGACACCTCTCTAGCGCTCTTGGAGCAAAATCAAGGACCAGGACAGCCCCTTTTTGTTCCGGTAAAGTGGAAAGTGACAGCGGCGTGACCCTGCCTGGAGCAGGCGATATCGTCCCATTTTATGCCGAAAATTACCAATTTGTTAGTGATTTTTCTTTGGGAGGGAGCAGCGAGCGGGCTTTGGCCACTCTGTGCCAAGCTCAACTCCGAACCGAGGGCAGCTCCTGTAGCTCAGGGCAAGCAAGCCCTGGGCAGGACAGACAGAACGCACACCACCGGCCAACAAGGGTGGTGGGTAAAGCTTTTCTGGCGCAGTCCTTGCTCATCAACCCACAACATCCTCTTCCTCCTGATCCTCGTCGCCTTGGTCGTGGTCGTCGCTGTTGTCGTCTTTTCGATCGTATATAGGCTTGCATCGCAGCACGCTCATTTTGTCGCTCTTTCCAACCTCCTCGGTTCCTCTGTCTCGCGTGGCATCTGGTCGGTCCCACCATCATCTCGTCCATCTAGCGTGAGCTGCTGTCATCCGCACCTAGCATCACGATACCCACGAGCACGCTCGCATCTCAGCCACACGCTATTTCAGCACTCAACCATACCAAGGCCAGCATCATGTCCGTGCCAGGCAGCTCCACGCTTCGCAAGAAAAGAAAGATCGCCGTGCTCGGCTCGCGATCCGTCGGTACGTCTTACTCGAGTTGCAGACCCTCGCGTCGCCATGTCCACCAGTGTCACTGACTCTCGCTGGCTCATCGTATCGCTTCTCTAACTCACAGGCAAATCCTCGCTGATCGTGCGCTACGTCGAGGACGCCTTTGTCGACTCGTACTACCCGACCATCGAGAACATCTTCCAAAAGACCATCACCCACCGCGGTCAGGAATACGACTGCGACATCATCGACACAGCGGGTCAGGACGAGTATTCGATCCTCAACTCGAAACACGCCATTGGCATCCACGGTTACATGCTCGTCTACAGCATCGCCTCGCGCAACAGCTTCGACATGGTGCAGACGGTGTACGACAAGATCCTCAACTACACGGGTACCGAGTCGGTCCCCTGCGTCATTGTGGGGCAGAAGAGCGATCTGCACGTCCAAAGGCAGGTGAGCGAAGCCGAGGGCAAGCAGTTGGCAACACAGCTCAAGGCCGCTTGGATCGAAGTCAGCGCAAGACACAACGCAAATGTCGCCAAGGCCTTCGAGTCGATGTTGGGCGAGACGGATAAGGGCACCCAGGAGGGCGGACCCGAACCACAACCCAGCAAGTGCATCGTCATGTAACGCACCCCTCAGCCTCATCTCTGGTTTCTCCAACTCTCGTTCTCTGCTCCAGCACTTCTACCTTGTCAGGAATCCCCGTCACGTCTCTTGTCGATCTAATCCCATGTTGCTTTGCCGCACATACATTTCCAATACAGCTTCGCACATTCTCTCATTCTCTCAGGCCACCGGATGGAGTGGAAAGTGGGTATACTGCTTTGCTCTGGTGATGACGGTGCTAGGAAAGACTCGGACCGAGGGCGCCATTCTTGCCGACACCCGTGACGACCAGGTGATCGCCCCTTGAGCGGGCTGCCTTTTGCCAGTATTGCAGCGCTTGTCCGGCGTAAGGTGTTGTATGCTCAGACGGCTGCGCTGAGATCTGCGCTTCGAGCTTGGTGAAGGTGTCGTCCCAGTGCGAGCCCTGGACGCGGTCGTTGAAGTGCGGTAAGTGCGGGCGGGGCGCTCTGAGCTTCCTTTCTGGGGACTTCAGGGCCGATTGCGCTGTCGGTGGATCCGGTGCTGAGATCGTTGGCTCGCAGGGCGAGTCTGGAACGGCCGCTTGAGCCGGCACGGTATCTGCCTTCGCCTCAGCTTGGCTTGCTGAGTCGATTGGATCTGACGAGGCAGCGATCGTGGACGAGGTTGACGAAGCGCGCTTTGCCAGCCGTGCAGCCCGTTGCTGCTTGACTTGCTTTCTCGATAGCTTTGCCTTGGGAGGATTCGTTAACGGGTTCGCCAATGCTGCTTCGGAGACGTCCTGCGGAAGTCCCGCTTTCGCATCGCTGGCTTCTGCCTCTCGCGAGAGCTGCTTCTTGATGGACGCTGTCCGTCGTCTTTGCCTCTGTGGCACTCTCTTCACTTTCGGCTGCTCCCCAATCACCTCCTGCCCGCGATCCCTCTTCTTGCCCTTCCCTTCCTCTTCCGCTTCCGCCTTTTCCCCTTTCAACTCTGGCACCAGATCGGGCGCAGGCCGTCTAGCAACCGTGCCACAGCACCCGCACCTCCACTTGAGCACATGATCATGAGGCCCACTGACCCTGCTCCTTACGCTCACTGTCAGCCCTTCCACCCAAACGGTATCGCATTTGGGACACGACCCCCTCTTGACGCCCGTGTCCATCCGGATCACCACTTTGCGGGAGAGCGACTTGGCGGAACGCACCATCTCTCCCTGCAGCCGACATGCTGGGTCGCTCGACGACGCCGCGGGAGCCGAGGCTGAGAGTATGCCATAGTACGAGGCCACCTGGTGGAGGTGGTTGAGCGTGTGGTGGTGTTCGGGATGCGTGATTGCTTTCGGTGCTACCCAGGTGGGACCGGCTTTGCTGGAGGTGGAAGAAGAGCCACCTTTGGACTGCTTGCCCTTTTGCTGCGTGTTGGTGCTTTTGGGTGGCATGGTGAGCAGGTGCTCCTTGTCGAGCTTCAAAGTAGCCTCATCGCTCAGGGTGGTGGATAGACGAGAAGGAACGGAATCATTTCGTACCAACGCCAAAAAAAGTTAGGAATCACTCTTTCGACAGGGTCCAAGGATGAACCGTAGGTAGAATCACCAAAAAGATTGCATTGACGGGGACTCGAACCCCGGTCGAGTCGAATCGGTAGTCACGCCTTATGCAAGGCGATGAGTTGGCAACGACTCATGATACCCCTACACTATCAATGCTTGTATGAAGAACGAGCCTGGTTATGCACACATATGATCCACAATTTTGAGCGCGAGCCTTTCTGGGGTCATCCCCGACGAGACCCTGGAAACGCAAGGCTGTGCTTCGGCCATGACTGTCTGCCTCGATCCATACGGTGAGGCAGCAGCATGCTTGGGATCGGCATGTCTACTCACTTGTCCCGCTGGAGATCGCGGAGCTCCGTCGTCCATCGCTCGGGTGCCAAGAGGAAGAAGGCGCCGACTCACGCGACCATGGCCGTGATGCACCTCGGACCCTGACACGGCGCGGCACGACCACCTCGGCGACTAATGAAGTGCCCACGGGGTATCAGCCTGCACCTCTTCGCCCTCGGCACAAGACCGCCTCGCTGCATGCGCTGGCTCAACTGATACTCTGCACGACCAAGCTTGATCTCATGCGAAACGGGATTGAGACGGCCCGTTCGAGGTCGCGCGAAACAAGCACAGCTCGGCTAGCTCACATGAATCCCGCTAAGGTTCTCAACGGCTCGTGGCTGGTAGCGTGGCTGACCTCGCCGATCCCGCACAGCCCTTCGGCAGCGCGATCGCTCAGTGACGATCTCTGTCATGATCGTCAGGGGAATTCAACGAAGCGGCACAGCATTGGCTTGCAAGCAAGGTTTTGATCATCGAAGAGCTCAACACCGCCTGGACAACGCAAGTGTTCCCCAAGGCCAACCCCGGTTTGAGGCAATTTCATGGCGTTCCTGAGCTCGGTCCTCGAGTCCTTTTGTTCGTGGTCATCAGATGATGCTGGCCGTAAAGATGTACTGAAAAAGGGCACCAGAAAAAGAGCCGAAAAAGGAAGCCGAGAAGAGAGAGAGACCGGATTGCATACAGACGCCGAGTGTGTGAAAAGTGTGACAGCTCAGATCGCAGCGCATCGAACCAATTTAAAGCTGATTTTTCGCTTCGCTTACTCTTTCTGGGCGACCGTTGGCCTCCCCGCTCTGCGACTGGTGACGCGCTCTTCTGAGACACTCTCCTACGCCCAGCCGGGCCCGTTCAGTCCACCTTGCCAAATCACACTTTCACCTGGGTCACTCGACTGGCCACCTGTCACATTCGCATTCATCGCTATCCCCTTCTATCCTCATCATCACCTACATCATCCCACTCGATTCCTAGTCGCCTCATCCTATTTTGTTTCCACTGGTCCAAACACCCTCCCTTGATTCTCACTCTTTCGCTCGCTCTTCAACCCTTTCATTCGTATCGCGCTTCGTGCCACCTCCGCATCTCGGGTCGACCTCATCCCACGCACCCTCGACGCTGGTACTCATTCACGGATCCCAGCTTCGGTCGTACATCAGCGCAGCTCGCTACGCCACTCTCATCCCGCACCGGACTCGAGACGCCGACTCTTGCCACCAGACCGCATACATCTAGTCCTCATCGCACTTGGCACGCAGCTTTCAAGCCAATGGACCCATCATAGAGGCTCATCTAACCCCACATTGACGCACTGCGCTCGCCCATCACAGAATCACTGTAACTATGACCACCTCGGCCACCCCGCTCCAACCCATCATCGTGGACAAGGTGCCACCCGCAGCCGCACAACCCCTGTCGGCGGCATCGGGCTCATCCCATCTCGCCTCGTCACCGTCAGCCTCTCGCCATCTAATGGGTGCACACTCTCCTACTGCAAATATGGACGCCGTCACCGCTGCGGCTGCTTCAGGCGCCCTTCCCGCCGCCAACGGTCTCCCTGATGACCCTGTCGAGGCTTCCTCCGTCTCGCGCCTCTTTCCTCACCCACCCGCCACCGATTCCACCCCATCTACGACTCCAGCTGCCCTCACAGCAGCCTCGGGATCCGTCCCTGTATCACCACATCCAGTCTCTCCACCTCGCACTCCCGCTGCTGCCGTCGGTTTCAGATCCGCCGCGTCGCCCTCTTCGCTGCTCGGCTCACCCGCATCGGAACGAGGAAACCCGATTTCGCATTCAGGCGTCCATCCTGCTCACTTGGTGCAGAGTCTCCACCACGTCTCCGATCCTATGTCGACGCCATCGCGTCCGAACAACAGCGGCTTCCGCTCGCCCGTCCGCGTCCGACAGCATGGCGCAGCTTCGCCCTTGTCAGGCACTTCCCCGCCCGGCTTGTCCACAAGCCAAAGCGTCCCGTGGCATCATGGCGAACTCAACGCTCCCAACACGCCTCAAACGCCGCATACAGCTTACACCTCACACAGCCCAAGCATCTTTGAGCGCGACATCGAGCACCGCGATGCTAGCCACATCATGACTAAGCAGGAAGCCATGGACGTCGCCATTCCCAGTGTGCTAGACGATGCAGTCGAAGCCATCATCGAAGACGACGCAGAGATCGAAGTCGTCGCCCCCGCCAACCCCGCCCCGCCCCTGGCTCTCAGCTCTGCTGCGCTCTCTGCTCACAGCGGCGCTAGCTCTCCCTCGTTCGACCTTGCCTCTTCGCCCTCGCCTCCGCTGTCAGCGTCAGGCGCTCTCGAAGCACCTCCAGGAACCATGGCAGCACAGATTGCTGAAAAGCTCGGACCTCGAGCCATGGCAGTCGACGACGCAAACAACGCATCACGACGCGCAGCAAGTGGGCTTCGTCACTTTGGCTCCGACGTTGAGAGTGTTGGCAACTCGATGCGCTCGCGCTCTCCTCCCGGCAGCCGAATGCTCGATCCAGCTGATGGTGGCAGCCCCGTCCGCTCGCGTGCTTCCATCTCGCCCGCTCCTGGCTTGACACCTGTTTCGTTGGCAGCTGCCGTCTCACAGGCGCAAGCCACAAGCTCACTCCAGGCCCCCTCAGCTGGTCACTCGCCCATGCCAACCGCTACTGCCTTCCCATCGCTGCCGCTGCCCAACCCGTTCCGCTCCAGCTCACCCAACCTTTCCGCCATGGCGCTTCCATCGCTCACCACCGGTGTCGAAGCAGGCCGACCGGCTACATCCAGCGTCAGCATCGACGGAGCCATCATCTCTGGTACAGAAGTCGCCACTCTTGATCACAGCCTTGACACGATCGCTGATGTGATTGCAGCCCACGACGCGGAACAAGCGGCAAGCCCCTATGTTCCACGCTCTCCGGCTGTTCCCTCCATCTCCGGCACAAGCAGTCCGCATGTGGGGGGCTCAGTCATCCGACCGCCCCAGCAGCATCCAGGCACAGGCGCAGCTGCGGGCGCCAATCGCGCCGCTCCTCCGGGCACGCTTGGCTTGCCCACCAGCACCAGCGGGCTGGGCGTCATGGGTACGGGTGAGTCGCTCTTCGCCGCTCTTGCCTCAGGCTCGCCCTCGCCTTCTGCAGACAAGCGAAGGCTCTCGTTCTTCTCGTACGCCGACATCCTCAACGAGAGCAAAGGCGAGGTGATGGACCTTCAGGGCGTGGTTCAACACGCCGCTGAGCGTGACGAGCAGCAACACGGCATCTTCCACCCGCAAGCGCACGCCAGTAACCACGCTTACGGCGGAGACCAGAGCAACGGATACGAAGCGTTCACATCGCAGCCGTCCATCCTGCAGCAGCTCGGTGGAGCCAACATGGCCAGATCAGCCAGCACCAGTGCAGCCGCCAGTCCGCGCACCAGCTCCATGCCAGGCGGAGGAGCCAAGTCGACCAGCGGCACCTCGAGCATTGTCGCCACTGGAGCGGGGTCTGGGGCATACACACCAGCTCGAGGCCGTCGCGACAATCACCTCGAAAACAAGGCGCTCAGCAACCGCCTCGACAGTTTGCAACTTGCTACGTCCGAAGCTACTGCGGTCGCGGCTGAAGGCAAGGTGCGAAAAGCGGTTTGAATGCAAGACATGCGGTACGGACAACCGCCCTGGACAATCTCTCTACACTTTGTCACTCGTCATCTCTCTATTTCATGGGTCTTTGTTTTTCATTGTTTGTGCTTCTGCGGCGTGTGTACGAGACCTGATCGAACTTCAGTGTGGGTTGCGGCTGTCAGCTGAGACGTCAGTGACGCTATCACGGCGCGCGGCGGAAGCTGCGGACGACCGGCGTGGCGACATGGGAAGAGAACCAAGCGGCCGCGCTGGGGTAGTGCCGGGGCCGGTTGGCTTCGCCAGCGACGCGAGCGCAAGCCCGTACCGCCCTCTGCCACGAACGATCCTCACGCTGACGACCGAACCGAGCGCTCACACACGCACCCCGAGCTGCTCATCGTCTCGAGCTGGCTCACTCATCAAACGTCCTGTACTGCGCGTCGTCCTCATCACACACATCCATCGTCGTCTGTGGTGAGCCGTACAAATACAATTGCATAAACCGTCCCGACTACGTCCTGCGCATGATAACATTTTTGCTTGCGGATCTGTTGGGGTGTCTCCTCTTCTGACGACCAAATCTAGCCTCGTCGCTCAATCCCTCCACTCCCTTGCCCTCGTCTGCGCCCGCACCCTTGCTCATACCGTAACCAAAAGTTTCTTCGCCCTTGGCCTTTCGTGCGCCTCCACGCTTGACGTCGCTCTCTGGATCGCGTCGGGAAGAAGGGGTCCAGGTGTAACTCTGCGCGCCGGCCACTGCATCCTCCATAAAGTCTGCGGCGCGAGGTCTGCTGGTACGAGGTCCAGCCTTGAGTCGATCCTCAAACGTGCGTCGTCCACCTTTACCAGCCGCACCGTCATCCTCAACGAGTCGACCACCGCGACGCGGCCCACGCACGGAGGGCGCCTGGTTAAGATTCTTCGGCCGCAACCCGCTCGCATCGCGCGCACGCGGATCGTACTGCCCCAAATCGCCCTCGTCGGACGAATCCGAATCGTTGCCATCCTCCTCTTCGGTCTGATCCGGATCGGAAGAGACGTGGTCGCTCTCGGCCTCCTCGTCCTCCACCGCCGTAAGCTTGCGCGGTCCATCCCGCTTGAGCGCGGTGGACGGGTTGAGCATGGCAAACTCTCGACTGGATGTGTCGATCTGATAGTCCGGGTCTTGGAAGAGTTGGGAGAAACGGCTGTCGGACAACAGATTCGTGCTCTCCTTGGGTTTCGCTTCTTTCTCTTCCGTCTCTCCGTCGGTGGGAGCAGCGCTGGTGGCGGCGCGAGTCTCGCGCTTGGCCTGCTTTTTCGCTGCCACCTCTGCATCGCGCGCCACCTTCTCGGCGAGCTCCTTGTTGACCCGCACTCCCGCATCGAGCTTGGGGTTCTTGGTGGCGCGAATGCGGCTCTCGGCCTGCTTGTCGATCTTGGCCTTGATGGCGCGCTCGCGGGCATCCGCGTAGGCCGTCGGGTTGGCCAGCAGCCGAGCTCGCTCGTACAACGCAAGCGACACAAAGTAGCCGTGCATGTAGGGACGCAGCAGCTGCGTTCCCACCAGATGTCCCATACCGAGTCGCTCCAGCTCGGATCGATCGACAAACTTGAAGTCCTCGTACACGCCCGTGGTAGCGGCGGACGTGGAGTCGACGCCGTCCATCTCGTCGGTGAGCGTGTCGATGTACGAACACCATTTGGGTGCAGGGCCGAGGGAGGGCACGTACCAAGCGGCCATCTGTGTCCCCTCGACTGCGGCCATGAGGAGACCTGTTCCCGGGTAGTGTGCAACGTCGTTGATGTCGGTTGCTGCGGAGGGTGGGGTGATGCTGACCAGATTGTCGCCCGTCGTCTTGTCCCAGATCTTGATGACCTTGGCATCGGCAGAGAGGATCTTGCCGTCCGCCTCGGTGCGTGCGCGCGGGCCAGAGGCGGGCGCAGAATCGCCCGGCCAGAGAAGCTTCTTGATGGGCAACCCGAAGCCTTGGTCCTTCGTCTGGTAGGGTCGGTCCATGCGCAAGTCGTACAGCAGCACGTGGCCCGTATTTGTGCCTACGGCGAGGTTGAGGCCGTCCATGGCGCCGGAGAGGGCGGTGACGGAGAGGGAGGAGAGCGCCTCTTTTGCCGCCGTCGAGTCGTCCGCCTCACCAATGACACCAGGGAGATTTCGCCGCGCGATCAGCAGTGCAGCGTCCAAGACCGTCTCCGTCGCCACGCTCAGAGCGCCCGCCCGTTTGCGCATGCGTGCATCCCACATCTCAACAACACCCGTCCCCTCCGTTCCAAAGCATAACAACCCATGTGCCGGATTGACGTCCACTGCATTGCATCCCGTTGGCTCGCCCAGATCCCCGCCACCGAGGACGAACGGTGCGAGAAAGCGTCCCTGGTCCAGATTGAGACGGTACACCTCGCGGCCAGCGGCGGCGACGATCGCGCCTGCGGAAGGGAAGTGGTACCCCAGAGCGCGGCCGAATTTGGGTATGCGGACGCGGGCATGCGCTCCGCCTTGCGCTTGAAGCTGCACGGTACGGTCGGTTTGGAGATGGAGAGACTTGGTCCAGTCGTCGGATAGCATCTGTTTATCAAAGCGAAAACATTCGTCAGTCACTGCTGCCCATCGAGCGAAAGCATGTGAGCGTCCTACGAAGTCAGATTGTGTCTATCCAGCATCGACCACACCTCCGACCAAAGTCTGGGATGCGTCTGCAGCTAATGTAGATAAGGTTTGTATGATGTATCATCACCATATGACGTGCCCCCGCTCCAGCTACTTACCAGAAAGTCGACATTCTCGGCATCCGTGTGCCGCTCGAACTTCAAGCTCAACTGCTCGCAGTCCCATACGCGGATCTGCGGCTTGTATGTTCCTGTCGCAACGATGCTCTGCCCATCGCGTGTCGCTGCGAGGCGGTTGGAGGCCTCGGGGAACTCAAAGTCCTGGATAAGCTCGATGCGCGAGAGGATCTCTTCGTCCTTGAGGGCTGTCTTGCGCTTCTTGCGCTTGTTGGAAGACCCGGACTTGCGCAGAAGGTCGGGAAGCGAGGAGGAGTTGAACGAGGTGCCAGCAGCGCCGGACGTGGCAGCGCCGCCGCCGGAGACGGTGTAGACTCGGGCTGGTTCTACTGCGGCCGGCATGGTTGGCTCTGTGTCGGTAGAGGCAGAAAGAGCCAGAGGTAGCGATCGGCTGCACTCGGGACTGTGGCTCTGTGCGCGACTCCTTGCTGCTGCTGAGGAAGGGGTATATGGTCGAGGGTCGAGCGCGGAGAGGTGAGAGTGAAGGTGAGGAAGTGGATCGAGCTGAGCTGTACAAAAGGCTCTTTCCAACCAAGAAGAATTTTTGGCGAGCCGGAAGCCCAAAAATCAAAATTTCCAGCTGCACACGGTGAGCGGCACCTCCGAGTTCCGCCCTTTTCACTCTCAGGTCTTCTGATCAGCCTGTCGAGCTCTTGATCCTTGCTCCTCATCAGCGACACAAGCATCTCGACATCTCAAGCACAGCAGCATCAGCGGCAACAGCACACCGATCAGTAGAATTTCGGCAACAAGTTTGTCTCGCTCGACACACACACAGCACATACAGTCATGTCGAAAAAGGGAGGCCAGGCAGCGGTGGCCGCCGTCGCATCGTTTGTCAAGCTCCTCGTCCCCGCGGGCAAAGCATCTGCACAACCGCCCGTCGGCCCCGCTCTCGGTGCTAAGGGCGTAAAAGCGATGGACTTTGCCAAAGAGTTCAACGCCAAGACGGCTCATCTCGAGGTGGGCATCCCCACACCGGCCATCGTCAAGATCAACCCGGACCGCACGTTTTCTTTCGAGATCAAGAGTGAGTACACGGCGCACTGCAATGAGTCACCGGTTGGAACATTACTGACAGATGAGATTTTGTCGACAGCTCCACCAACATCATTACTGCTGAAGAGAGCGGCAGGCATCGAGACGGGCGCCGGCAAAGCTGGCTCGCAAGTTGCAGGGACGATCACCATGAAGCACATTTACGAGATCGCAAAGATCAAGATGCAAGATGTCAAAGGGGTCGGAGAGGAGCAGGTACGTTCAAACAGCATGGCTCATTTTCGGGTGACGAGTGTATGGTATTGATCACAGCTTTCTTTGGATACAACTTGTTGCTGTATGCACAACAGATGTGCAAGGTCATCGCCGGCAGCGCACGCAGTATGGGTCTCCGAATCGTTCGTTGACCGCTAACGACTCGACCGCAGTCCTCGTGTCCTCGCCCGCTCAACCTGTACTTGTAGTCTCTATCATATCATTACCGGCATCACCTCGATACATCGACTTCCGTGCTGGCTCGAACGACCAAAGTGTTCCCATGACAGGCGCAAGTGCGGCCACGTTGCTAAAGGTCGACCCTGTCGTTGGATTGTTTGTCTCTGAGACCCACAGAACACACACGACGGCCAATCCTAGGCAGGCATGATGCACGCATCTGGAGTGACGTGCGACTTCACAGGCGCAGGTAATGCGTGAGCTCTTGCGCACACACGAACGACGTCAGACTCAAATGCGTCATCTTAACAGGAGCAAGGTGGTCGTGATTCAGAGTCGATTGAAAGCGACAAGGCGGATATAGTACATGAATGCTGGGACACGAGAGCGCAGGTGGAAGCTTATGAGCAAAGCGGGAGCAGGAACACGTTGGATGGGACTTGACAGAGAAGCCGGAAACGAGTCTGACGAGATTTTGAGGTGCTTTGAGGATGCCAACGCCTGAGCGGCTAGGAGAGAGAGAGACGAGCTGTTTACACGGTCTGCGAACCAACGTGAGCAGTAGCCGAAGTGTTGCCAGTGGCGACATCCTGAACGACCTCGATGTGGCCCTGCTTCTTGTTGCCGGTTGCCTCTCGCTTGGACCTGTAGTTCTTGATGGCCGACTTGATGGCGTCCTCAGCCAGCATGGAGCAGTGGAGCTTGACGGGTGGCAAGCAGAGCTCCTGTGCGATCTCGGTGTTCTTGATCTTGGAAGCCTCATCGAGCGACAGGCCCTTGACACGCTCGGTCATGTAGGAGGAAGAAGCAATGGCGGAACCGCAGCCAAAGGTCTTGAAGCGGACATCCTCGATGATGCCATCTTCGTTGACCTTGATGGAGAGCTTCATCACATCTCCACAGGCGGGGGCGCCAACAAGACCGATGCCGACGTTCTTCTCGGTTTTGAGGAAGGAACCGACATTGCGCGGGTTCTCATAGTGGTCAATGACCTTTTCGTGGTAGCCTCGTCGCTGAACGGGAGCGCCAAAGACGGTCGACGAGGTGGCGCGGGCGGTTGCCACGACAGAAGGTCGTGCGACAGTAGAGAAGGCAGCGGCTCGCGAAGTCGAGGCGACGGCTTGCCTTGCGATAGGTGCGACAGCGTTGCGCAGCATGATGTGTTTGTTGTGGGGCGATGTTCTGTCGTGAAGGTGTGTCTGATTGAGTGGTACAAGCAGAAGCGTGGTGGTGTGCAATAAAGGTGAGAGGGTGGAGACGGGACGCTTGATAACGTCAAAAAGGCGAGGATGATGCGGTGAATCAGGATCGGGAGTGAAAGCCGATTGGAGGAAGGGCGTGTGACAGAAACTGAGCCGCCACTCGTCCAGCAGACTGGGCTGGAGCCGCGGAGGAGTCTATCTGATTAAGCCTCCCAGAGACCGAAAATTGTGGAATTTTTGGAAGAGTCAGAAGCCGTCTTGAGCCGGCAGATGGAGAGCGCGCACAGACAGAGCCAAAAAAGGCAAAAATGTAAGATCGTCGGTAGACCATTCGTGCGATATGACTTTGATCTACCAAGATCTCCCGATTCACCACATCTCAAGATGCCGTTCCGTCTGGCTTGACGCAAAAGGCCGAGGAGGTGCAGCAAACAAGCTTGTCGGCACAATGGCTGTCAAGCGCTGAAATTTAAAATGAAAAAGCGTCTCGCTGTCACTCAGTCAGTCACAACACTTGCTTCACCCTTCGGAGCGAGCCTTGGTGGGTCCATCTCAACTCGACTTGCTCTCGATAATGGCAACCATAACTCTGCCATGCAAAGCCGTGCGCAAGCTGTGTCGCCTTGAATGCTCAAACTCAGCTCGTCTTCGCCCGCCAGAGTGAGCTAAGATCCCAACTAACTCGAAATCCCATCGAGACTAGGCTTCCCGCTGATCTCCGGCCGCATTTAGCTTAGTGCTTGCTCGATTCCTTCAATGAAACAACCCTCATCGTGATCTGGGTCAACAGCAATGCGCAAGCCAGGTTTACATCTCGGCAGGTGCGTGCCTGCTGATGACTGCCGACAACCAGAAACGCCGTTCGGCGGAGCGCGCAGATTTTTCCAGCTCCGCTCCTGTCGCCCTTCTGTAATCGCTAGCCGCTCGGCAATGCTTGACTGACCCAACCAGCTGGCGAACCCTTCCCTGCGCTGGACGATCGTCGATCTCTGACAACACGGCTGCCCGCAAGATGCTTCTTTCTTCCGTTTCACTCCCTTAGCCGGCCTCTTCGGCATTCAGCCACCACATGATTCCTTCTGGCGTGCCGTAGGCTGCACTCTAATCTGCTTTGCGCCCTGCATCTCCAACCTGCGGCTCGTCCTGGCTCCTCAAACGGACTCCTCTTGCTCCTAAACAGTCGGGCCGATCTTCATCTCGACAGCGTCTCAGCCACCAACACTTGGACAACATCATAACAACAAGCCACCGCCCGCCAACGCCTTCATCTTCCAACCTCCGATTTTCAAATTCATCACACCAAGGCAATCTGGTCCTGCTCTTCGCAACTTCTTCGCAGACGACATCCTCTCGACTTGCCGCCATATGCACCAGATCGCAGCTGCGTCTCTCACACAGCAGACAGGCACCATTCCAATCTAGAGCACAGACTCTGCTTGGCTTGTCATCTCGTACTATCCTACTGGGTCCGCCTCACCTTTTATAAACCCTTGGTGTCACCCCATGCGTCGTTAGGATCTTACCCCTCCTCCTCCAAAAGTCGCCTCGCCCTTGGACCACTTCCTCCCCGCCGCCAGGATGACGCTCCCCGACCGTCCCTCGACAAGGAGGGCCCTCCACGCCAGCATGCTCTGTCTCGTCGTGTTGGCGCTCCAGCTCCTCACACACACCGTCTCTGCGCACCTCACACCGGTACGATCCTCCCACGCTACCACCTTCTCACAGCGCGATGCCTTCTCGGATCAGGACCCCATCGACAACGAAGGCGAGGATCACGGTAAGCCTGTCGTTCCCTCGGGCGCCAACCTCGTCTCGCTTCCCGTCACCAACGCCGCCTCGCTCGCCGTGTACTGGACTGCCAACCCGCAAAACTCGACCGCCACCAACGCATACATCATGATGCACGGCAAGCTGCGCGATGGCGCCAACTACTGGACCGTGCTCAACGACGTTCTGCGAAACGCGGTCGCTGCGAAAACGCCCAACGCCGCATCGACGTCGATCGTCACCGCACCGGAATTCTACTCGACCAAGTTCAACTCGGGCCAGTACAGCGCGGACCAGCTGGCGTGGGCAGACACGAATGTGTGGCAGGCCGCCGAAGCCGCCACCCATCCCGCCGGAAGCAACGTCACCAGCTTCGACGCGCTCGATGCGCTCCTGATGGAGTTCAGCGATACCTCCAAGTATCCCGCGATGAAGCAGATCACCTTTGTCGGTCACGGCGGGGGTGGACAGCTCATTTCGCGCTACGCCATGGCCGGTGCGGGCTTGCCTGCGAGCAGCAACATCCACCTGCGTTACGTTGTGGGCGATCCTTCGTCCAATCCGTACTTCACCCTGGATCGACCGTTGCAGGATGCGAGCGTGGCGAGCAAGACCACTTGCCCACTGTACAACCGGTGGCGCTACGGGTTTGATCGTTTCAACGGCACGCAGATGGGCGGACTCCTCACTCCCCAGCAGTACTTCGCCCGTCTCGCCACGAGAGACGTCCGCTGGGTCGTCGGCTATCAAGACACCGAGGCCAACGGAGACAACACATGCATGGCCAAGCTCCAAGGCGGCGCCGCACGGAGGGATCGAAACCTCAGCTGGTGGAGATACATCAACACCCTGGCTGGCACCAAGGAGGATCTCACCGGTTTCCCTGGCGCCCTACCCGGTATGGCCTCGTGGGGAAACTTGACCAATAACACCCTCAATCACCGACTGACGGTGGTGTATAATGCAACACACAATGTGGAGGAGGTCTACTCGAGCATGCAGGGCACCTCGGCGCTGTTTGATGATACGCAGAACGTTCAGTTGGGTTGGAGACCGCAGGGATGGAAGAATGTGACGAGCGTCAATCAGTCGACCAAGAACGGGACTAGTGCGGCGCCGGCCACGTCGGCGGGTGCAACGGTGGGCGTGCAGCAGGGATGGACGGGGTTGATTGCCGTCGCCGCTATGGTCGTCGTCGGGTTGTCCGTGGCGTAGACGAGCGCCCGGATTTGCTTTTGTATACCTATCGGCTAAGGGTCACTGGTGGCCTGCATTGCCTAGAACCGCTCGCAGAAAGTGCGATCGGATATAGTACGGACTTTTCTTTCACCATGCCGCTTGTGATACGTTCCGAGTGAAAGGCGCCCACAAGAGACTGAAGTGGGACTGAAGAGAGCAGCTTCGTGGGACTGCGGGCAGTGGTGTGACCTCAGCGCACCTTTCTCATTCACTGCCACGATTCGCAGCAATGTCGGAGGCCGTCAAGCTGTATCGTATCGAACGTACACAGCTAGAATTGAATCTTCGACAAGATTTGCAAGAGGGGACCTTTCGTACTGGATCGATCGAGCTTCGCAATTCGACAGGCTACAACGTTGTCGAGCACCCACCTAGACCTCGCACAGTTCGAAGCCCTTCGCGCGCTCGCACAGCTCGTCGAAATCCTTCGGCGCCTTCTCCAGCAGCTCGTCCCTCAACTGCCAGTAACCCGGGGGCAACCTCTGCACGAAGTCCCATGTGAGATTCAGAATCGGCCTTTCGGGGTACAGCTCGTGTGCCTCCCCGAACTGCTCCACCAGATCCTCGATGGTCTCCCCAAAGATCGCCTCGGCCACCCTCTGGAGGGCCAACAGATGTCGGTCTGACTCGGGGAACCTTTCTCGGAGCGCGTGTTCGAAGTGTGACCACGAGTTGGGGCGCTTGGTCGTGTCGTCCGAGTGGTAGTCGACAAACCAGTCCCACGCCTCGCCGGTCAGGTATAGCAGAGGCAGCACGAGACGGTGTTCGCTTGCGATCTCGATATCACGGAGTGACGAGAGCCATACGAAAAGCGTGGTCGAGTTGGCGCACAAGGTGCCAGAGAAGAGTGGCACCGTCTCGTCAAGCCAGAATTGATAGACACCGTCCAGGTCGACCGCGACGAGAACGCGGGCGTCGGCGTACGTCATGGTCAGGATGCTGCTCGGGGAGGGGCAGCCGTATGCACGCAGCACTGGACTCGAGGACATGCTGGCAACGAGGACGGGGCGAACGTCATGGAGGCGACAAGAAAGGTAGTGGCGACACAGAGACGAAGTTCTATAGCGATGCAGAGCGACGCTGCCCGCCCTGGTGGGTAAGCAAGGATCGACATCCTGTGGACTCCGGCTGAGTTCATAGCTAGGCATGGGAGAGGGAAGAAGAGGACGAGCTCCGTCACTTCGTTGATGCAATTGACCCACCCTTTGTCGTCATTCAAAGTTTGATGCATCGAGCGTCGAAATGCGGCGAGGTCCCACCACCACGTGCCATCAGATGAAGCTCCTTTCTACAATCACATGTGGGCGCGCGACGACACAATGGGCGCATCTGCGCATGAGCGGCGCAGTCTGCGCACGAGCCCCGGATCTTCGATCTTCTGACGCTTTCATCGATTGTCGCACACACGGACTGCCTGTCGTCTTCAGACCACCAGCACCTTTTCCAAATGAGTGACACTCACCGCTGGTCTCACTATCGCGGAAAAGGCGAGCACCTCATCACCTTCTATGCAAAAGGCCTGCCGAACCCGGACAGCGTGCTGACAATGCAGCAGCTAGAGGATCACTCCTACACTGCGTCCGTCGATGGAGCGGTCCCCGTTCGCTATACCGTCGTTGACACCGTTTCACGTTTCCACGGGGACGGTCGGTGCTCCGATTCGCTCCAATGTTGGCTAGACCAGATCTGCCTGCTGCTACTCAAGCAGGACATCCCGCTCGAACACCGAATTTGCATCCCACTGCTGTACCTCAGTCGAGCGGCGCGCTGCTGGTACAAAAGGCTCTACGCAGATCCCAAGAACGTGCGGATCAATTCTTGGGACGAGTTTCAAGACGCTATCAAGGCCAAGTTCCTCCACGTCCGCGCACGCCGTCGCTGCAGACGACGTCAATGCTTGAGGTGTTTGGCGCCAACGACCAAATCGGAACGGCAGCAAGCCGACATACTGGCGCCAAAGCAAGTCGCGTGCCCGAGCGCGCTCCCAGGTCAATTATCGCAGACATGTGATACTCACGATACTCTGTCTAATCCGCAACATGGTACGATAGCTTCGCTGCCCATCTCCAAGCCATCAGCTGGAAGCTTTGTTCACAAAACAAGGCCAACGAGAATCCTAGCCAGCTCGATGGAATCGGCAGAGACTCGATTGGTTGTCGCTGTAGAGCCCCATAGATCCTCTGATCAGCATAGACTTTGCGGAAACACCGATTCGGAATGACGACGTTTGCCGACAGGAGGCAGCCGATTAGGTTTCACATCGTCTGATTTGAGCGGCAGGATCGGGAGACATCGCGGACCTGACAACCTCATCAAAGGGACGCAGTCGTCTGCGATCTCTGGTAAGCTTCGGCAACGACCGGCTGGTACCGTAGAGCTGATTCCAAGTGTGCGTCAACCAGGCACGCATGAACTGCGGGGGCTTCCGGCTCCACAATCGTCGAGTGCAGCATCGATGTGGGGCTCCACCTGATCGATGCGCATAACCGATAGGGCCGGCTCTGTGCCCCGCTTGCTACGCCGGGAGGGCACGGCTTGACGTCTACCCCGCATCAGAATTACGTAGGAGTGGGACGGGTTGACCGATGCAAAGACGTGCGGAGTCGATCCTGCGATTTCCACGTGGAGCCCAACGACCTTCATGCAAGATACAGTAGCAAGCTAGCGTCTCTCGGCTACCGGTTAGACCAGCCGGCCCATCGAAGAAGCCGGAGGCACGAGCGGGGTTGGGGGAGCAAATGGAACGAAAAGACTCCGCTCCCAATGGAAGGGTCGTGCCAAGAGAGTCAGCGTAAGCGAGCGCGTCGCGCGGGGACACCAGGACTTAAGCATGAGTGCGGAGAATGAGTCGCAGAGAAACCCAGCTCTCCGACTCCGCTTCAGCTCTCTAGCGCGCCAGTCATCGTCGGTGTTCCAATTCGATGTTCGCTTGACTGTCTTCCGAAGACACGATTCGAACGTCGAACGAAGCGTAAGCAGCTCAAGAGCGCACGAACGGGAGCGTGTGAGGGAAAATGTAGTTGTTCCGAAGCACGAAGCGTGCCTGACTGTGTCTTGGCACATTGACACTGCTCGACTGCGCATCAACGAGGACGCAAAGCGGTGTTGAACAGGATCGGCAAGGCCAAGATGAGCTGATTTCGAGGCTGACGACGGGCGCGCAAGACCGACCTTGCATGGACAGATTCTTGTTTGCCATTCCGAAGACCGCAGGAGAAAAGCTCTGCGGGGACCCCGCGCTCCATGAAGCTTCCGACGGGGCCAATAGGAAACGAGATCGAGATGCGACTGTCATCCTGAGGCAGCGTGAGATGGATGTCCTGCACCAGGACCACCCCATATTGCACATCAAGGGTTCATTGTTCCCGGTGCTGGCCGAAGCCTCGACCTCCGATGTGCAGATCACAAAGGGACCCGACTCGTCTGCGTGGACCGGATTAATTCGAGCAAAGTGGGCCTCTCGCAGTGTTGGGGCTGCATGAAACCAATCGACAGCAGCAGCTGTTGTTTCTGATCGGTCTAAGCGAGAGGTGGAGTGTGGGGTTGATGCTCGGCGAGAGTCCGCCAAGAAATTGCTTACCCGCAGTAGAACGCGCACAAAGTGGACGCTGTGTCACTTCGAGGCGTCCTGCTGCCTCGTCACCCGCGTGTGTCACCGTGTCATTGGCTCTGTCTGCTTCCAAGGCTAGACTCGCTCTCGCCCTCTTCTGCGCCACACCATCAAGCCACGCGTACGCCTCGCGTGCACCGACATCATTTCTGCACCTTGCCTTGACACGATGACCGTACCTTTTTGCTCCAGATGTAACCTCGCAGCTGGCTGAGACAAGCTGCAAGACGCTCCTGTCGTCCATCAGCCGCATCGATGAGCTGAGCTCATCAGCAAGCTGTGTTGCTGATTCGGACAAAAAAGAAGGCCAGTCGAGCGGTGCTTGAACACGACCCTCGGCCGCGAGGAGGAAACTTCTCTTCTCCCCGAGCGAAACAGACTGACCGCGGTCCAGCGTCTGCATTGTCGACCATCTAGCAGTTCCGCTTTTGCAATTCCGCGAACACCAGGAGAGCAAGAGAGCGCGAGAGTTTGAGTGGTTTGCCCGCCGTTTTCGAGGTGCAGGTGGCAGTTTGACGCTGCAAATGAGCGGCAAAGTCCGGAAAGGGTGCAGTTCGCGCGCTTCCGCTGGTGCCAAGAACTCCGACGTGGTACAATACGTACAAAACCTCGCACGGCCCCTGCTTTATCTTGTCGTCGTCGCTCGCATGACAGTTCAATGCCCACTCGCGCACGCTGTGGTCCACCCTTGACGCACGAGCTTCGAGCTACGATGCTGCTGAAGGCCAGGTCGCATCCGGAGGCGATGCTACGTGCAATAGGAGCGTGATGGAGTCGAGCTCTACCATACGTGGGAACGCGGAGTCGCAACCTGAGCCGAGCCAAAAGGAGGACGATGAACTGCGAGTCTGTCTCAGGCACCCTGTGTCGTGGAGGCAGTCCCGCTCGAATGCACCTCGTTTCTCTTGGCAGCAGCAGGGCGGGTGTGTTGTTGGGACCAAGCCTCGTTCGAAATGCGGAGTAGATTCGTAGAACTGCAGCCCAGCATTCATTCCTCCTAGCGCGAGTTTCGTTTGCCACGCGGCAAAATGGGGTTTGCAGGTGCAGAAGCGAGGTCGAATTTTGGACTAGAGACAGGCCATGTGCCTCATTCGTCCCGCTGCTTTGGCATAAACTGCTGTTCCGTCCGCATAGGCGAGACGGGTTTTCCCCACGTCTCTGGAGACATGCATAAGTCTTGGCGCCCAACTGTGCATCAAGCTTGGCCCTCGCCTCGTGCCTGCCTGTCGAGGTTGGCAAAAGCCACACACATCCCGCCAGCCCGCAGAATCAGATCGATGCGGGGCGAGAAACAAGATATTCGTCCGTTCGTTTGTTCGTCCAAATGATGTTGGCGGTGGCAGTGTCTGCAGTGCAGTTTCGCTGCATTGAACGCCTCGTCGGCGCTTCTGCAGTGTCCTCGTCGAGACCAGCCCCACATGACCTCGCCCGCAAATCCGTTGCCAAAACGCAAACGCTCTGTGCCAGAGAGCTCGAGCTCGACAACGGTACAGGTGTTGTTCTGGGTTTGGCCCTCTCGGGTACACGCGAACACCTCTAGCCGGGTTGTGATTGGCTCAGGTCAAGCAGCGCTTGGCCTGCCACCTCATTGTCGCCCTCAGCTCGTCTGCTATTGTTTTCCCTCGCCGGCCCAAACCAGCTCGTGTAGCCGTTGGAAAAGGATCCGGCCTGGACGGAGTCTGTGGCAAGGGTCTCGTATGGCTTGACACTGGATCAGCAAGGTCAAAGTGCTGCGCATCTGCCTCGGACTCGCTTGATGTCGAGCATGGCTGGCTAGTTTGGAGATCACGGTCGGTAACGATGGCTGCAGGCTCATGCACCCCGCAAGCAGCTCCAGCCAACGGTTCGAGCGTCGTACCTGAACAGCTCGAGACGCCAAGCCAGGCCTTGGTGTACAAGCCTCCTAGCAAGGCCATCGTCCGCGCTCAGCCTCCTCTCAAGCAAGAGATATAAGAAGTCGGCCCTCTGCGTCCCACCTCCCTTTCCCCTCAACCCCTCCCTCAACCCCTCCTTTACCTACCTCCTCCCTTCCACCTACTACACTGCATAAGATGTCGGCCGCTGACAACCGCGACCGCTCGGGCTCGCTCCACTCGGATGAGAAGGATGTTGGCTACCCCATCCAGCACCAGACTCTGTCCAAGGACACCACCCAGGACCCCGAGTCCAACCAGATCTCTGAAGACATCGACGCTGGCTTCGACACTGCCGAGGTCAAGCGTGTGCGCCGAAAGGTCGACAGGCGTCTGTTGCCCATCCTCGGTGCCCTCTACTCGATTGCCCTGATCGACCGAACCAACCTGTCGGCCGCTCGTATCGCTGGTGCCGGTGTCGAGCTCAGGCTTACCGCTGGTACCAACTACTCGATCCCCCTGCTCATGTTCTTCGTTCCCTACATCCTGCTCGAGATGCCCTCCAACTTGCTTCTCCGAAAGATCGGTGCCGCCAAGCAGCTCTCGTTCATCGCCTTCTGCTGGGGTATCGTCATGATCGGCCAGGGTTTCGTCAAGTCATGGCAGCAGCTCACTGTCACCCGTGCTCTCGTGGGTGCCTTCGAGGCTGGTTTCTTCCCCGCCTGTGTGTGGCTCATTTCCACCTGGTACGTCCGCCGCGAGTCGCAGGTGCGCATGTCGGCCTTCTACCTGATCTCGGTCGGTATCTCTGGTTTCTCCAACATCATCGCCTACGCCATGTCCTTGATCCGAGTCTCCGACCGCACCTTCCGAGGATGGCGTTGGATCTTTATTCTTGAGGGTGAGTACAGCTGTTATGCCCCTGGTGGAATAGCCCTGGTGGAGCGTCTCCAATGTTGATCGCGCTCCATTGTTGATCGCGCTGCAATGTCAGGTCGGAGATCGTTGAACAAGAAGACTGACCTCTGCCTCTCGAACCTCCCCAACTCTGATCACCACAGGTCTCGCAACCGTTGTCCTCGCCGTCATTGCCTACTTCGTCATCCTCGACTTCCCTGACAAGGCTGCCGAGAAGGGCTTCCTCACCATTGCCGAGCGCGACATGATCCTCACCCGTATCCAGCGCGACCGTGGTGATGCGAAGCCCGATGCACTCACCTGGGCCAAGGCCGGCAAGTACGCCACCGACATCAAGGTTTGGCTGTACGGTCTCATGTTCATGTGCACCACCATGCCTACCTACGCCTTTGCCTACTTCCTGCCCGTCATCCTGCGCGGTCTCGGCTACTCGATCCGCGACTCGTTCCTGCTCGGTGCTGCTCCTTACGTCGTGGCCATGGTTGGTGCCTTCGGCTCCGCCGTGATTGCCGACCGATACGTCATCCGAATGCCGCTGCTGATCGTCCAGTGCCTGCTGACCATCGCCGGTCTGGGCATGCTCTTCGTGCGCACCAACCGCCAGGTGCAGCTCGCTGGTGCCTTCCTTGGTGTCTGGGGTGCCAACGCCAACATTCCCTTCGTGCTCAACTTCTCGCAGAACAACGTCGCCGGCCAGTCCAAGAAGTCGTTCACCTCGGTCATCGTCATCATGTTTGGTGGTATCGGCGGTATCTTTGCCTCGCTCGCCTTCAACGAGAAGGATGCTCCCCTCTACCGCAAGGGTCTGTACGCCACGCTTGCTTGCCAGGCCTTCAACGTGCTCTGCGGTGTTGGCTTCACCCTCTACTTCCTCTCGGCCAACAAGAAGATCCGCGCTGGCCGCAAGGTGGTCGACGACCGCCCCGGCTTCACCTACGTCATCTAAGCGTAGGGTTGCTTCGGCGCCGCTCTGCTCCTTTTATACCACGTTTACGTTATTGATGGATCGCATCGCATCCGCTTCTGTCGTCAGCGGCACACCGGTCTGGATGTCCTGAGATGGTCCGGTCGATGTATGTGTACTTTTTCTTAGGGTTTATTCACATTGCAATGACACATGATGTCAAGATATCTATACCGAAGTGATCCTCTTCTGATGGCTGTGGCTGAGAGATGACAAGGCCGATTCAAGGAGGCAAAGGCTGAGTTGCTTTTGGCGCGCCCAATTTGTCAGGTGATGAAGTGCGCCTGCAGCAGATCGCGGACCCCACGCGTTGTTGAATTTTGCCATCATTCAGGGGCTTGCTCGTTTCTCGCTTCTCATCAGCGTCCGGGTTCGTTAGCAGCAGGGTCAGCATCCACGACGATCTTCACTGACTGATCCTGTCGCTCTGACTCGGAAGCATGCCGAGCATCGATCATCGAGAGGCTGTGAAGCGTGGGAACTCGGGAGTCAAGCATCTCGGCGCCGCTCCGAAAAGGTCGAGCTAGCAAGTACACGCAAATTGTCACACGAGCTTTCGAGGATCGATCGGCAGGCTTTCGAAGGCAAGACGAGTCATCCGTCAATCTTTGCCTCTCGACAGGCAGCCATGGGAAGCCAGCAGAGGTACGGCGAATAGGAAGAAAGCTGGCGGCGGTCTTGTGCTGCGAAGTGAAGTCGAATCGCATGCTAAGCTGTGGTGCTGCTGCCTTCACCAACACGCTCGGAAAAGGGGTCCAAGTGGGAGCCTGTCGCTGTGTGCCTGTCCGCCTTAGAGAAGCGGGCGGAATATCAATATTAATAAAATTAGGCTTCCATTTTTAAATTGGCGAGTTTTGGCAGTCAGGCGGCAGCATTTGAGCAGCCCGCCAGTCACGTCAAGAAGGGTCTAAACATCGGAGATGATGCGGTGTGCCTTGCTTGCTGGTGTTGTTCTTGCTCAGCAAACATACACCTCCTCCTCCGCGCTCATATCACTCTTTCATTTCTGCCAGCCTCTCCCTCGCCGCTCTCTATACCGTTCTGACCTCCTCATTGACGTATCATCACGATCACGGAGTCCAACATGACCTCCTCCACCACATAGCGCTCAAATTACAACACCAAAGCTCGGCAAACCTGCCGAGGACACGTCAGCCATGGCGCCCATCATAACGTCGACAGGCCAGACACGGTCGCGGCTGCCCCCCAAGTGGATGCAGAATGCTACTATAAAGGCATCCGCCGCTGCCACAGTCAATCATGTCGACCATGACGCCCTAGCACACCAGAGACCTGTGCGATGGTCCACCCATACGCTGGCCGCCGACCACAACGACACGATACGCAGTTGTGCCGACTCCACCACCTCGACATATGTCGCCGACACGTTTGCGCATCGAGGTAAGGGCCGCATCAGCGATGTGACATTTGTTAACTCCTCGGAAGATGCTGCATCCGCCGACCTCACCAGGTCAGACAGCCACAACTCGAGTTTCAACGACCTCTCCCTCACCTTGAACGACGATGATGATATCTCCCAATTCTCCGACTTTACGAAATGTAAGCCGACTGTACCAGAGGACGCAGAGCCGATACCGCCCGTCACCCACGATATACACGTCCACTTGCTGGACAGTGACGACGACGACATGGCTCGGAGGATCGACCAACTCATGGCAGCAACCATGGAAGCACTCGAGGCTTCCAACCGACTCGTCCTCGATACACTTTCTACTCGAGCAAAGCTCGCGCAGTTCAATGCGATGGAAGCTGCGCTCGACTCTCAACTCGATGCTAGAGAAGCCCACCTCCTCCGCCAAATCCAAGCCGTCACCGACATGACCGACTTCGTCTCGAAGACATCCGCGCAATTGCAAGACCTCACATCGCCTTTCCTTAGACTGCGTGTCTCCGGAGGTGCCGCATCAGCTGGACAGCCCAGTACGCTGGCTGATACAGCTGAGCTTCAGGTTCGAGACGCAGCAGCAACGGGCATCGTCCAGGCGCTCGATCGGGACGCCACCATTGGAAAGACAGCGGCAAAGCGACTGGAACGTATGCTTCAGACCTCTTCTCCCAACACTTCCCCTTCCTCCTTCGCATCGCCACAACGGCGCAACGCACAGAATAGCAGACGGGCTTTCTCTATATCGGACTTTGCGAGCAAGCATTCCAGCATCGAAGAAGAGGGTCAGCACGAGAGCGAAGCATCGCCGTCCACGCCTGATTCTGCAGCCCGCCAGCAAAACACAGGCAGCACAGCAACTTCGCCGGGCACTATATCCAGTAGCCGCACCTCCACGCCTCAAAAGAAGCGCGCCATCAGCTATGACAGCCGTTCACCAGGCGCACTCAGGTTGTTGACCAAGTTTGCCGGCCCGTCGAAAGCATCGACTCATTCGAGTTCTCCAGCGCTCAGCGGCACCTCAGCGAATGCTGCCAGCTCGTTCGCGCCGAACCCGGTCTCGATCTCGGAAACGGACGCGACTGGTGGTTCTTCAGGCTCTTCTGCATTCACATGGCTCACCACGCGACCGTCACTCCTGGCAACACTCAGTCAAGAATCAATCTTGGCGTCCTCACGTGCTCCTTCGGCTTCGAATGCGGTCGTTGGCGATGACGTCGAGGCACGATCAACAACGAAGAATGCGTCGGGGCTGCCAAGACACAGCTCGGCTGTCGGCTCCAAAGCGGGTGCTCATGTCGGCGTAGCGTCAACCGAGGATGAAGCAGTCCTCGCAGCCCTTCTTGGAATGCCTCCAGCAGCACGGGCGGCATTGACACCGCCACGCACGGAGACCCCTTCCGAGTCGTCCTACTTCGACAGCGCGATGGGCGAATCGATCTCTTCTGTGTCACCTCCCACACCGGGCAGCGTGCACGCTATCGAAGAAGTGCTCGCAACACCTTGGAAGTCTGCCACGGAAGGCCTCGAACGCGAAGGCGTCGATGCAGCCTCTTCGCTCCAACGCTCGGCCCGGCGGACCTCGATCTACTCGAGCGCACTCAGTCCCAGAGCATCGTTATCGATATCAGATCGTGATCGAGCGCAACACTTGTCATCCCAGCTGGCCGAGTTGCGTGCCGAGCGTGTCATGTGGAATTCGCAACATGCTGGCAGCGCCGAGATCAGCCAGTCGAGCAAATCGACATCAGCATCGGATGCTCGTGGAGGCGGAGCGCTACGGGCCTTGCAGAGGCTCAACGAGATGTCGGCCGCCAAGATCGGCGCGCAAAGGGGCCCCTCTGCCGAAGATGTCAGCAGCAAGCGGATGTCCTTGGGCCTTGGTCTGCCCAGCTTCTCAAACTTGAGACCCAGTGCCAGTCGGTCGACGTCGACTACTGCGGCCGCCGCAACAAGTTCGTCCTGCGGTGCATCCGGTCCAGCAGGGGACAAATTAACAAAGTCGGCTGATCCGAAGCTTTCCCACGACAAGGCTGCGATCGATCCTGTCACGGATGCCGCCGACGTCGGAGCATCCGGCTCGCTGCTTGGCGGAGGGTGGCGCTCCTGGGCATCCTGGAACACCGCCTCTGCTGTAGCTGACAGCGAGAATACCACTGCTCACAAGTACGAGCGCAGAGCTTGACACGACCAAACATCTTCACTCTTTCTTTCTGGACCGCAGACCGCTCTGAGGAGCATATACCAGGCTTGCCTCCTTTCTGTATTTCTACCTTTGCAATTGTACTTGTTCGTCATCCTATGCTGCTCCGTCATCTCGGTGTGTGGAGATCCGGCTTTCGGAAGGTCAAAGGTCGAGGACGCGTGACCGTGCGCTGCCTTTTTTGTAGCTGTTTGCTCCACACAAAGTGAATTCAAGGGTCTGAATCTTCGGGAAACATCTGTCTGACGCTCTTCCACCATCATCACCCCCAATCTGCCACTGGCACAAGCTCCCTGCAGCCGCCATGCTGCGGCGCAACGACTGAGTTCTCAGTCGAGTCCCGGCCTCGAGCCCCAGCAAGCACCTCGCCAGCTCCAACAGCTCAGCACCTTGCGCAAAGCGTCCGCTGAACGACCGGCGCTCGTCATTCTAGTAAGCCGAAGGAAGTCGCCTCTCTTGCTTCCAGGCACCGTCAACCCTCCGGAGTTGATCATTGTCTATCGCAGGCTTTACCTACTCAAGATGAGCTCCGCCACTGTCGAGGAGTTCGTCGAGCTGCTCAACGCAGAGCAGCATGTCGACCTTCAGAAGCTACGCGATCTGGCTCGCCACGGAGTGCAACCGTCTGTGCGCGGCGAGGTGTGGCTCTACCTCCTCGGTGTGCTCAGCGATGACAAGGGTCAAGAGATGACGTCCGTCCGCAGCAAATTCCTCGCCTACGAAGCACTCGACAAGCACAATCCTGCGCTGGAGAAACGTGTCCGCAGCGAGTGTCAGCGGTATTATCAGAAGCGACTCGGCACACGACCGCCCCCCGGCAGAACGTTGATGCGAAGCTCTAGGAGCGTGCTCTCGCGCAAGCCCAGCGGATTCTCTGCGGGCGGACTCGGGTCTAGCATGGCAAGCGGCTCGTCTCTGGGTAGGGACTTTTCGATGGATGGCTCTTCCTCGTCGGGAAGCCTGTCCATATCGGGATCGTCGATGGGCGATGCTCAGCAGTCTTCGATCTTGGGCGCAGGCGCAAGCTCGTTGGCGACGACAACTCTGAATGGATCCGACCGAGGACCGAACCGCGTCAACGATGGTAGGATCCACGCGCTCGGCGGGATTATTGGAGAAAGCGGCGTGTCTGCAGCCATGGACGCCGACGACCCAGACGCAGCGGCTGCACTCGAGCTGAAACGCTTTGGTCGCAGTGTCGAGAACATCATCTGCGCCTTCATGAACCGATGTACAGCTGCAGAGGCATCGCGAAGGAAAGCATCACATGGCGCTGCTGAGTCCACTCTCGGGGAGACGGGCACCAACGGATCATCAACAGCCCAGATAGCCGACGTGAGGCATGTCGAAGATGCCAGAGGTCGAGGGCAGACCTCAAGAGAAGCACAGCCTGGCAGCATGGCACCCGATGGCGGCCCTACAAACGCATCGACGGACGACATGGTGGCGGTCGGGTCTTCCGTCAATCCTTCTTCGGCGCGTCAAGTACACGGTAACGGGCACAGCAGCGGTACAAGCTCACGGTCGCGCTCTCGAGCAGGCTCCTTCAGCGGCGCGACGAACGGGACAGGTTTGGGCACTCCACCAGCTCGCAGCAATGTGAGCCTGGAGGACGCTGTTCGGTCTCGCATGCCACGAGAATACGAATGGCAACCACAGGTCAACCCTGGCAACGGTGGCTCTCCTGGTACAGCGGCCGAGTTTCATCCTGCTCTGGTGTATCTCTGTGCGCCATTCGTGCAGTGCGTCCGCGTCGAAGCAGGGATGTACTTTGCCTTTGAGAGACTGATGATGCTGATGGCACGACACAGCGCACGCAATCCGCTACCACGGCAAGTAGCCACGTTCCTCACGCTCTTCCGAACGACGCTGCCCGAGCTGCACTCCTACTTCGAAGAAGAGGAGGTGGACATCATCGGGTTCGCCACCAACTGGCTGCAGCACCTGTTGGCGGGCGAGCTGCGCATCGAAGACCTGATGCGGCTGTGGGACACCTACTTTGCCCTGCCTGACTTTTTGGATCTGCATCTGTACGTGTGCATTGCGATCTTGACGAACTGCAAGGACTCGCTCGAGGAGCTGGATCGGTCCGAGACGAGGAGCATGCTGGACAGCTTGCCGCCACTGGATATCGATCGGATCATCAACGAGGCGATCAACATTCGGTTGAGCCACCAACGGTCGCAGCGCACGGACGATGTTTAGTGCGCAGCAGCGTAATACACCATCGCAGCGCAAGACCGTAGACCTGACGGGAGAGGGCGAATTGAGGAGGTTCCAGATTACACAGGCCGCCGTCCCGCCTCTCGAAAGCCACCAACCTGCACAAGGGGCGACACCGATTTCGAAGCGTGCGCCACTGGCTGTCGACTCCACGGGCTAATGTGCATGCATCCAATTGTTCGATGTACGCTGCTCACCGAATCTGCAATGCGAGGTCGATATCAGATTCGAAGCGGGACTCGAGTGCTGGCTGCGACATGAGGTACGGCTTGAAATGAAATGAAATGAAGGCTATCAGCGTCTGTGGCAGTGTGGAAGAGCGCAGCGCAGAGAGAGGCGAGGCTTCATGACGCGTTTGAATCCCGTCCCGAGTTTCTCCCACTGGGACCTGTCATTACGGTGCGGGATCTTATGCTGATGCGAGCTGCTCATCATTCCGTCAGAAGCGACGCCGATCTACACCTGATCGACTCGACAAGAAGCGTGTGCCTAGCCATGCTGTGCTGGATTGGGAGCAGACCGAATTCGCGGTGCAGGGCAAAAATGCTTTTCGATGGCATGACAAAAGAGAGACGCGGGCCATGTCTCGCTTGAACCCCTGAGTCTGTCTTGCTTTTGTTCCTGCTGGCCGAGATCTGCAGCTGTGCAGCCTAACTCGCCGGAGAGAGCGAAGCGAAGCGCAAAAAATAGCTCTTGCTTTCCAACTCCGCAAACAACACACTCATGCTGTTGACGTCGTCGGCGATCAAAAAATCTCGATGGAGCGTGTGATAACTTAGGCCCAAGGTTGGCAGCCGTCCAGCCGTTGGAAATCTCATCTCGGACTGGCGGCTTTCTCGATGACCGCCTACTTGCTCCGATTGACAAGCGGCAAAGGGAGTTAGCCGACTTTGGACAGGAGAGTCGGCCGTCGAGTCCACGCTGCTGTCAAGATCACACAGCCTTGTCTGCGCCGTGACCATGCGCTGTTGAAATTCCAAATTGGCCAAGACAAGAACCCCGCGTCAAGCATGCTGCGCAGACACAAAGAACACAGCTTCGAAAAGCTCCTTGCAGGAAACGATGGACGCACGCTGTCGTTCTGCTGCTGCCTGTCAATCTTCTCTCCGCTCTTTGTTCCTTGACAGAGCCGATTTCGGCAGGACTGCGCCAAGCGCCCATTGTTCTTAATACAGCATGCTCCCTTCCATTCCTTCTCACCACCATACCATCGCCCTCCCGCTCCACGCAGCACCGAGCACAACCGCATACATTGCTGAAGCTCACTGCACGGTGACACCCTTCTACGACGGCACCGCATAAAAGGCTTCGTGACTTCTCCTGCACGGTTGGCATTCTTCGAGCCGCCCACTTTGCCTTGCGCATGGCCACCTCGGCACATACATCCCGCTCGCACCCACCCCGGGATCGCACTCACTCAGCATGAGCTACAACGCCTACCATCCGCGTCCTGGCGGCGCACGACCACAACGCCAGCAGTACGCCTACCAGCTGTCTGTAAGTTTCACGCTTCATCTCACGCCCACGGGCCGCCTCCTTGCGTCTCATCGGCCCGCCCACGCATCACGCTCCACTTGGGCCCACTTGCTGGCGGCATGCACTTCCGCACTGCCTGTTCTCCAAGGTGACCCGCATGGCTGACTCTCTCCTCTCTCTTATCTCCGTCTTTTCTCCTGTCCACACCATCCAATCCACTTCACGCCTGCTCGCTTTAACGCCTCGTAACGACCACTTCGACGAAACCACCTAACGACCTACCTGATACGATATAAATCATCTCCTCATGTCTTCCCTTCGACGCTGGTGGAACGGATTCCGTCCCGTCCAGGACGACCCTTTGACCCAGCCAAGCCTTGGCTACGCAAACCACCCCAGCGCATATCCTGGCTCGTCCAGCATGCATCCCGAGAACCCCTTCTACGCCGGCGAGAACCCCAGCTTCCAGACTTTGGCTCCTGCCACCTCCGAAGCTCACAGCATGTATCCCTACGAAGAAGACCGCGTGCCTCTCACCGACACGACCGACGACGAAAAGTACGGCTATCCTCCCCCCAGCCACGCCCATACCGCATACACCCTCTCGGATCCCAACACTCGGTTTCCCACTCCTGCGCCCTACGGAGGCCAGTCCTCCTACTCGGCTAGCCTCGCTCCCGATGACAGCGCCAGTCAGGTCGCCTGGGAGAAGCGCCAACAGGCTCCCAAGCGTGGTCTCACTAAAAAGGTCCAGCTCACCAAAGGTCACTGGATCGTCGAGCACCCCGTCCCCACCGCCGTCAAAAACTCGGTCGAGCCTGGGTGGGCGCAAGGCAACCACACCCAGGAGTTCTCCCACATGCGATACACGGCCGCCACGTGCGATCCGGACGAGTTCACGCTAGAAAATGGTTGGAGTCTTCGCACTTCGCAGCAGTACGGACGCGACACGGAGCTGCTCATCGCCATCACCTACTACAACGAGGACCGCATCCTGCTCGCACGAACGCTGCACGGCGTCATGCTCAACATCCGCGACATTTGCAGGAGCAAGACGTCCAAGTTCTGGCGCAGGTCGGCCGAAGAAGGCCGGCCAGGCTGGCAGCGCATCGTCGTGAGTCTCATCTTTGATGGCATCGATCCGTGCGACAAGGAGGTGTTGGATCTGCTCGCCACCGTCGGTGTCTACCAGGATGGTGTCATGAAGCGAAAGGTCGATGGCAAGGATACGGTGGCTCATCTGTTCGAGTACACCACCCAGCTATCGGTCGATCCCACGCCGGCTCTCATCCAACCGCACGGCGATGACGCTTCCAACCTCGTGCCTGTCCAGATGATCTTCTGTCTCAAGCAGAAGAACAGCAAGAAGATCAACAGTCACCGTTGGCTCTTCAACGCGCTCGGGCGTCACCTTCAGCCCGAGATCTGCATTCTCATCGACGCAGGCACTAAGCCGGGCCACAAATCGCTCTACTACCTCTGGGAGGCCTTCTACAACAATGCCAACCTCGGTGGGGCCTGCGGCGAGATCCACGCCATGATCAAGAACGGTCGCAAGCTCATCAACCCATTGGTGGCAGCGCAGAACTTTGAGTACAAGATGTCCAACATTCTCGACAAGCCGCTCGAGTCGACGTTTGGCTACGTCAGTGTGCTACCCGGTGCATTTAGTGCGTATCGCTTCCGAGCGATCCAGGGTCGACCGCTGCAGCAGTATTTCCACGGCGATCACACGCTCGCCGACCGACTCGGCAAGAAAGGTCTCCACGGCATGGACATCTTCACGAAAAACATGTTCCTCGCCGAAGACCGGATCTTGTGCTTCGAACTGGTGGCCAAAGCGGGGGACAAATGGACGCTGACGTACGTCAAACCGTCCAAGGGCGAGACGGATGTGCCTGAAGGAGCGGCCGAGTTGATCTCGCAACGTCGTCGGTGGCTCAACGGCTCGTTCGCCGCCTCCATCTACTCGCTCGTCCACTTCTTCCGCATCTACAAGTCGAACCACGGCATCATTCGGTTGTTCTTCTTCCACCTCCAGGCGATCTTCAACGCACTGGTGCTCTTCTTCTCCTGGTTCGCACTGGCTAATTTGTGGCTGACGTTTTCGATCATCATCCAGTTCTTGCCGGATGAATTGCTCAAGAATTCGTCGAATACGACCCTCACCGTCTTCCACTGGATCAACCAGGCGGTCAAGTGGATCTACGTGTTCTTCCTCGTGCTGCAGTTTGTGCTTGCGCTAGGCAACCGGCCGAAGGGGGAGAAGGCGACGTACATTGCCTCGTTCGTCGTGTTTGGTGTGTTGGGGTTGTATCTCATCGTCGTCTCGTTGTGGTTGACCGTCAAGGCGTTGGTTCATACTAAGTTTTCGGGCGGCATCTTTCAGATTCTGTTCAACCAGACGACGGGGGTGCTGATCGCCTCGCTCGCTGCGACGTTCGGCATCTATCTGGTCGCGTCGATCCTGTATGCCGATCCGTGGCATATGGTGACGAGTTTCCCGCAATACATGCTCTTCGCGCCTTCGTCGATCAACATCCTCAACGTCTATGCGTTTTGCAACCTGCACGATGTTTCGTGGGGCACCAAGGGGTCGGACAAAGCGGATGCGCTACCGACGGTCGATACCAAGAAGGACAAGAACACCGAGCCGGGTACAGTCGAGGAGATCGAGCGACATCAGGATGATATTGACGAATCGTTCAAACTGGTCGTCTCCCGTGCAGTGGCACCGTTCAATCCCGAACCCACCATCGACAGACCCACCATGGACGACAGCAACAAGACCTTCCGCACCCGCCTCGTCGCCTTCTGGCTGCTGTCCAACGGAGCTCTGACCGTCGCCATCGAAAACGTCAACGGCCTCAACACCGGCCAGACCAGCGCAGAGATCGAACGCGAACAGAGCAACAAGCAGTCGACCTACTTCAAGTTTATCCTCTGGGCCACGTTCGGGCTGTCCGCGTTCAGGTTTGTTGGCTGTTTGATCTACTGGGTCAAACGAAACACTACGAGGTGCTTCAGGAAGACTTGATGGCATTCGTTGATGTTGCAATTGTACGAAATGGACACTTTTGTGCTTCGAAGTTGGGCCTGTGTTGAGAGGACGGCGGCTGTGTGTGTGAACACGAACGTGATGTCGATGGCAACGGCGATGCGAGAGTGAGCGTGCTGCCGCTCAGTCTGCACGCCATGCGCCGACTTTGTCGAGGCAAGCGGGGGCAAGCGAGCCACGCCATCGCTTCCATCCCTCACACGCGCTGTCACGACCTCACTCACACGCATCTTCTCACCCAAACACCGTCCCCGAGCAAAAGCGCTGCATTCGTCACTCGCCATACACGACCCGTCTCAAGCGATCCAGCTCTCCCTCCTCCCATTTCTTCCCATCCTTGGCCTCCTCCACCGCCCGCACCGCCTGCACCATGTGCTCCTCGTTCGACGTCCCGCTCAGCACGGTCACCTGCAAGCCGGGTACATTCATCCCACTGGCCAAAAACGCATACACCACCTGCTGCGGCGTGTACCCCTTCTGGATCGCCAGATCTTGCACCTCGACGCTGGCGAGCAGATTCGGGTTGCCGGTGAGACTCCAGAAGGGTTGGTACACCACTGGCTTCCTTCCCTCCTTGTAGTCGTTGGGCGACAGGGTGGGGCTGAGGAGGCTGAGCAGCGCCACATCGTGTCCAGTCGTGTAGTGCCATCTGTTCTGCAGCACCGTCGGCGGAATGGACGAGGTTCGGGAGATAGCACTGAAGATGTCCGCATCGTACGTATTGCTCACCCCGATCTCCCTCACCAGTCCCAGTTGGACGAAGCTTTCCATCGCCGACCAGACCTTCAATGTCCGATCCAACGTCGTCAGTGGCGAATGCAACACGTAGCTATCCACCCACGCCTCACCGTCCTTATCCGCATACTCCACCCCGTCGTCCAGATCCACCCCGCTTTTGGCGTTGGCCTCGATCTTCGCCTGCACCTCTTTCAGCGGCGTGAATCGCAACCATGGGTGCAAATTCCTCAAACTTGCGGCGAAGGATTTCCTCACCTGCACTTCGACATCCTCCTCCTGTGCGAAGGGGATCAGTTCTGGGTGGGACCAATCTTGCCCGCTGCGCGGGGTGAACTTGGTCTGGAGCCAGATGGACGAGCGGGGCAGCTGCATTTCTTTGGCGGCCACGGCGAGCGCAGCGCCCACGTGATCTTCGCGATAGTGCTTGCGTTGACCCGCCGTGTCGATGCCGCGAAAGCCGTGCGAGAGGGCGAGGATGACGAGATCGGATGTGTAGTCGCCTTTCCAGGCTGTGCCGTAGAGGAGAGGCGGGATGCGTGCGTGGGAGGAGCGGGTGTAGGGG